CTTGGATTCCAGGCCTGCAGAAACATCGAAAATCGTTGGGGCTTCAAGGACCTTTAGCTTTAGCTGTCAAAGAGAGTCGATGAAGCGGCGAGTGAGACTCGAAATTCGCCCCAGGGTGGACATTGAACTCGACCGCTCTGCCATTTCAGTGCGAGATGCGATCTCCGACACCGCCATTCCAAAGTCTCTCAGCAACGGTTCGGCTGAGCCTTCATTGGACTCGGCGGCGAAATCTAGGATACGAGCCAGGGGGGCACTGCCCATTTTGTGCTGGACCTTACGAAGCACATGGCAAACCCTCTGAGAGGAACTAAGGCAAAACTCAGCCTCAAGCAGCAATCCCTGCCAAGAAAGAAGAAAAAAACTGCACAAAAAAAGCTGGATTCTTGACTGCCGCCCAGCGGCGGCGCAGTAGTGGAGAAACAGGAACTGCGCCACCGCCTGCTCCCTGCGGTCGAGCCTACGCCTGAGCGTGTGCAGCGCATGGCGCAGGGCAGCTCTTCCCTCGCGGCATCGGGTGAGGTCAAGCACCTGCTGCAGGGCATACGGGGAGGCACCCGTCAGGAACTTCTCATCACCGACCCCCAATCGCCCCTGAGGCGGGACTCGCAACCCAGCATCGAGGGTACGTAGGAGAACTCGAACGACGATGCCCTCAATCATGTTGCTGAGGACCCCAACGCATATCGCATGAGTCAGATGCACATTGCCCATGCAACTTCGTGCCAAGCCCAGGATCGTGAACGTTCCGAAGACTTGTTCAAGCGTTTCTGCACCATCCAGAAGTGGGTCCAGTACCATAAAGAACCCGAGCGCGTTGAACGCCAAATTCTGCGCCACAGCTTGTGGGGATCCCTGCAAGAGCATTGGAATCATGTGCAAGATCAGGACGGCATAAGCCTGTATTTTCATCAAACCGTTGCTGACGCGGGGATCTTCGAAGATGTTGAATGCCAGGGCCAGGTCAGATGGGCCTGAACTGTTGAAACATTCAGTGCAGATTTGAGAACCCTACTGGAGATTCTCGAACAAGCTTTACGCAGCCATGCGCCAGCACCAGGAAAGCAGACCCCAACACAAAATAGCGGTCTAACAACAGCAGAGCTACTGTCCATCGACAGCACACCTGCCAGAAACCCGATGGGAATCAGAACCAGGCAGAGACCAGGGGACATCCAGAAGAGCTCCATGTTTACGTCCTGCCTTGGTGTTTGAGCACTACATGGAAACCTGTGCCCGATGCTTTTCGAGAACCTGGTCTCAGCGTCTCACCGTGCCTCATGAAACTCGGAAGCATACCGGAGCATCTCACTGCCTAACAGCTCTAAAGAAGCCAGTTGGGATGTGCCCCCTTATCTCTTTGACTGCCCTGAATAGGGACTATAGTACCCCCCGACTATGATCCCTACTAAGGACTTTTAGTAGAAGGGTTACAGCTAGGCTTTGCCTGGCAAGGCCAAGGCGCAGAAGCGTGAACACGGCATAAATCTTCAAGCCGCCGATCACGGTCCTATACCGAATTTGGGGAACCCTAGCAAAAGTGATAATTTTAGTTGTTTCTTAGGAGTTAGAGTACACAAAAATTAACAAGCATTGCCATGAATGCCTAAGGGTCTGGTATGGGAAGTACCAGAGTCTTACCAGGTGTCGCGTGCCAGCAGATATCGGAGCAGCGACCATCCGAGCCATCATGAAAGGAAGGGCATGCGACCCCTATCCATGAACAAGCAGCAACCCGGAGGATGAGATTGAGATGAAGGTGCTACCACGGCAGCTACACAGTGAACCTCTGACCACCTAGCCTAAAAGCATCCTAGACCCTTTGTCTGTACTCAGCGCACTGCTTCGGAACCATGCGTCGAACTGTTCAAGGCACACGCGAAACTGCCCCTCTGTTTCGGGTTCATGCAGGGTCTGGGGTCTCTCATCCCCCGGCCGGGGCCCGGTACTGCATCCTAAGTAGTAAAGGCACCGTTTATCTTGCTTCCCTAGGGGTCGATAGAAGGGATCCTCAGGTCCGAAAACCCTAAGAAGAAGAAGCGGAGAAGCCAGGCGCCCGGCGGGACGAAGAGGTTGTGCCATTGCACGCCCTCCTTGACGATTTCCTGAGCGTCGTTTAGACTCTAGACTCAGACTCGAGCTTTGCAAAGCCCAGGAAGAACTGGCGTTTAAGAGCTATACTAACCAAACTCATCCCTGCACACTGCGTGTGCAAGCCTACAAGGAAATCCAACCCCCTAAGATGACGACAGCAACAACGGCAACGACACGAAATCGCCAGATCGCTCTCCGTTCACAGCAACATCGACATGCCCTCGACGGGCCGGGCGCCCATTCCCCGGGCGTGTGTGTTTTGGACTGTTCCTGGCCTGAAAGAACGTTCAACACCCTGAGACCTAAACACTAACCTCACACCAACTCTCAAGGTCTTTAAGCCCTAAACCCTAAACCCTACACCCGAAACAAGCCCTAAACCCTAAACCCGAAACCCTAAACCCCCCCCTCCCTCTCTCTGGGTGGCGCCGCCCACTTGCCCACGTAGAGCATGCCCACCTCTCGGCAGGAAGAGTTTGGGGGTTGGGGCTTCGGGGTTTGGGCTTAGGGCTTAGGGGTTAGGGCTTCGGGGTTTAGGGCTTAGGGTTTGGGGCTTAGGGCTTAGGGTTTAGGGTTTAGGGGTTAGGGTTTAGGTTTTAGGGCTTTGGGTTTAGGGCGCCCGCTACTCTAAGCCGCGGCTCGAACCCGCTGTCCCGCCGTTGCCAGGAACTCTGAGCAAGCCGCCCCAAAGTCCGAGCGGCGCGCTCCGAAACACACCGCAGAAGCCTCGGAAGCCTCCAACTCTGAGCTGGTATTCCAAAGCCCCCCAAATTCCCCAAACTCGCTCCCCCCACTCAAGCTTCCCCTCCCCCCCACCCCCCCCAAAAAGCCAACGAGGCCCCGACGCCCAGGGCGGTCGGGGACATGAGGCACATGGCGTTCTTGGCGCCATAGGACATGGACTCCTCGGTGGGGTCCCGGGGTGACGGCTCGGATGTCCGTCCTACGGGCTCTGTTTGATATATCTGATACAGTGCATCTTAGTCTTTGTGTAAGAGGTGAAACAGTTGGGGCTTGTCAAACAAGTAAGGCCTGCGTCATCTGCTTGACCAAGCCCTGTGCTTTGTTTTAGCTCTTATAATTTGCGGAAGTCTCTACATTTCCAGGCTACGTGATTCTTGAACATCTCACTTCTCTTACTATGCAATCCAACCTGCTTGTGTCTTGTGCATCCATTTTCCGGGTGCCTCATGATCTGCTTCAGCCTTTCCTTGCCCCTGAATCATGCGTCTCCTCTTCCGGCACAATACTGCTCTCCACATGGACTTTGCTTGCATCCTCGTGTATTTTCGCCGCCTCTGTTGTTCAACTTTATCATTCTGATTTATAGGCATTCGTGCGATTTCTGCAGCTTGTACATGAACTTGTTCAGCAGTTGGCTCTACTTACCCTTCTTTTCCTTTGCCTTCTTCTCCTCCAGCTGCTGCGTTTCGCTGTTGCTTCAGTGTTGTTCCCAACGCTTGACCTCATTCTTCAAGGATTTTTCTTGATTGGGCGTTTGACAACTTCCTCGACCTCTCTTGTACAGACCACTGCCACAAACTTTCTAGACAAACTTGGGCTTAAACATTCTAGGACTTTTTCTGCGTCTCACCCTCCCCTCTGCTGGATTAACGAGAAACATGCTCGACAAGGGGCGTATTCGAGGGCACCTCGTGTGCTCGAACAGCTATTAAACCCTAAACCCTAAACCCTAAACGGAAAATCGGAACTCACGGTCTGGTTAGGGTGATGGAAGCGGGCGGAGTCATTTATGAAACACACATGGGGGGGTTCCAGGGGTACCTTATTGGGTTCTTTATTATAACGGGATCCTACTATTTGGGGGTTAATGTCACGGGTCCCTTGTTTTCGTAAACTCCCAAATGGGAAGAGAGAGAGAGAGAGAGAGAGAGAGAGAGAGAGAGAAAGAGGGAGAAAGAGGGAGAAAGAGGGAGAAAGAGGGAGAAAGAGGGAGAAAGAGGGAGAGAGAGGGAGAGAGGGGGGGAACATAGTAGGGGAATGTAGCACATCTGTGCAAGAGGGCTGTGACCTGGCCCAACTCAGATTCCCTGCGCGTCAGGCCCTGACTAACTCAACGTAGAAAACTGGAGATCCCGAAGCTACAAGACTTGGGGGTTCGGAACGGGACTTCCGGACACAAAGGCCACTCCCGGCCGTCACACGCGGATTACTCGAGGGTTCATGGGTAGTTCTAAGTAGGGCTCTCTAAGTCAGGTACCCCCTATTATAACCTTCGCTGACCACTGACCCTACCAAACAGACTAAAAACCCTAACCCTAGACCCTAAACCCTAAACCCTAAACCCTAACCTTGAAACTTCCAGAGGCTCCAGGCGCGTTGGGCCTTTTAGGCCTCAGCGCCTTCGTTGCGTTGCATGTGCTCTAAGCCCTGCACCTCATAGGCCTGGTAGAGCGCATATGGCCTGCCGGGGGTGCCCCAAAACCCTGGACCCCAAACCCGAAACACCAAAGCCCTTAAACCCCTTAAACCCCTTAACCCCTAAAACCCCTACAACCCCAAAAACCCCTACAGCCCCTGAAGCCCCTAAAGCCTACCCTCAAGGGCTCGCAGACCTCTACTAAACCCTAAACCCTAAAGCCCTAAACCCCTAACCCCAAAACCCCAAAACCCCAAAACCCCAAAACCCCAAAACCCCAAAACCCCAAACCCCAAACCCCAAACCCTAAACCCCACACCCCGAAACACCAAAACACCAAAACACCAAAACACCAAAACACCAAACCCCAAAAACTCAAGAACCCCCAACCCCATGAACCCTTCGGCTTGCTGCAGGACTGGAGGCTTCGTGGGCGGACCGGCAGGGCTTTGGGGACTTCCACTTTGAAACGAACTTAGGGTTTGGGAGTTAGGGTTTAGGGTTTGAGGGTTTGGGGTTTAGGGTTTAGGGTTTCGGGTTTAGAGTTTGGGGTTTTGGGGGTTCAGGCTTTGCAGGGTTGGGGTGTTGGGGTTGGGGTTTCGGGTTTGGGGGCCGCTCCTGTCTTCGGGGTGCAGCCCGAAGAGTCTGAGCTCGCGGCATGTAAGCCATCCTCGGATTCAGAAGTGGCTGGAAAGCTAAACCCTAAACCCCGAACCCTAAACCCTAAACCCTAAACCCCAAACCCCAAACCCAAAACCCTCAACTGAATGGATCTATCCTTCAATCTGCCATTCAGGCCCTCCAGTTTTCACTGCCACCCCCTGGCCTTGAGGGCTTAAGGCTCAAGGCTACAAGGCGTTTTAAGGGGGAAGCTGCAATTCAGTGGCTGCCCTCTACGAGGCGAGCGTCTGCCCCTTTGAGGACTAAGACACCGCTGTGTCGATTGAAAGGATGCGAGATTCAGGGCCTTTACAAGAGCCGGCCACAAAAATCGCAGTGAGCTGGTGAAGCAGTACCAAAAACCAGAATAGGGGTGAAACTCGACTCTGGCACGGTCTCAGAAGCATGGCCGCGCTTACTGGCTTAGGGATGTCTAGGGCTTAGTGGTCGGATGGAACACGCAGCTGCAAGGAGCCTACCATGGGGCGCCGGCCAGTAGATGAGCCCAGCAAACGCCGCAGCCACCTTTGTGGCAAAGATGCCGTTGCTGGGCTTCTGCTAAGGCACCTAAGCTAGGTACAGAAAACAACATATACATATACATACATATATATATATACATATATATGTATACATATATATATATACATATATAGAAGCAAAGGTTGATAGCATTCCTTGTAATGCTCACTTAATGGGAGAGTCCTTGAATATGAGAACCCAGTTTCGGGAATCCGTTTGATCTAGAACCCCCGGCTTTCGTAACCCACCCCCCATAGGCTCATAGACTAGCCCCCCGAACACAGGCAAGAGAGGATTAGGGGTTTAGGGCTTTAGGGCTCTAGGGCTTTAGGGCTTTAGGGTGTTAGGGGTTCAGGGGTTTAGGGGTTTAGGGGTTTAGGGCTTTAGGGGTTCAGGGGTTTAGCGGTGTAGGGGTTTAGGCGTTTAGGGGTTTTGGCGTGTAGGGGTCTGGTCAGGTCCAGCTGAGGGCCGTTAGGGGTTTGGGATTATCGGATTGAAGGCGCGGGATCTTGCAGAATGTATCCAACCCTTCCCCCACCTTGGCGCGCGAAAAGAAGGAGGAGATGAACATGGCGAAGGACACGGTCCTCGGACTGTACTCCATCTGGATTCATAGGTCTCGGCTGAATTACACATACCCTGGAAAACCCTATCTCCTGGGCTACGATGGGCTTTGCAACTTCAGACCTCCTCGGCCCAGGACCGAAAGATCGCTGCCAGAGCTCCCTCTCCCCTCTCTCCCTCTCTCTTCCTTCCTTCCGCTTCGCGTACCCCCAAAAAAGCAACAAAAGGGCCGCAAAGGAAGGAGCTGTACCAGAAGGGAGCACGGGCTCTCTGACGGAGACATCAAGTTCAGCCTGGGGTGTTTCTCTCTTGCAGGGGTGGCGACGGCGCAAGAGGCACGTCAGGGGCGCTTTTTTCGCGCCCCGGGGTGTCCTGGGTCCAAGCTTAAAGGTCGTTTTCTTTTTGCCCCCAAGGACCTCGGGGGTTTTGGGAGGTTTCGAGTCTCAGAGTTCGAGGCTTCGCCAGAAGAATGGCCTGGCAGTTACCTTCTTGGAGCTTCGTCTCACATTTCAAGATCGAAGGCTGACAGGCTTAAAGGCTGGAAAAAATGTATAAATGAACCCTCAGTCTTACAGTTGGTATCGGGGTACTTAACTTGCCCCGAAGTCTCTGAGACCGAAATCTCACTTCCCTGGCCCTAAAACACCCAGCACGTAGGACCATTTTTCTATCACGGAGTCCCCGCGAGGCGCGCGCGAGACAGAGTAGACCCAGTAGAAGACGAACAGCACGGAGAAGTCGCTGTGCTCCAGGACCTCAAGGGGGGAAAAAGAGGTGCAGCAAGACGGCTCTTTGCTTGTGTTTTTTTTGGGGGGAGAGAGAGAGGGGGGGGGGTCCTAGGCCAGGGTGCAAGGATGTAAGGATTCCGGGTTTCTAGGGGCTCGATGATCTTCAGGACTTTGGCAACAGCCAGCCACAAACCGAACCCTAACAACAACCCCAAATCTTCAACCCTAAACCCTAAACCCTAACAACCCTTAAAAAAACCGTAACAACCCTAAACCCCTAAACGCAAACCCCTTGGCTTCAGGTACCCTGGGGCTCACGGCTGCACCCAGGCTTAGCAGCATGGTGAGGATGACCACGAGGCCCGTCAGCTGTGCCATGCCCTGCGAGGGGCATCTAGAGGCTGGAAAAGTGTTCCCGGGGAGGGGTTGGAATGTTCCCCCCCCTTCTACTCACCGCTCCTTAACTAGGGATTATAGTACCCCCCGCCCCCCAAGTTTTCATCCCTATGAACTGTTAGAATAAGGGGAAACATCCCAAGATATGGGCGTCGTGGGTCGGGTACTTGATGTCACAGGGAGTTTGAGAAGGTTGCAAGAACCGAGGATCAAAGCTGAGAGCTGGGCTCTTGGTTCAGGTCTCAAGTTTAGGATGCTTCGGGAGCAACCCTAAACCCTAAACCCTAATCCCTAAACCCTAAACCCTAAACCCTCAGCACTTGAAGCACTCACACTCCTTTCGGCGGCTTGAAGAGCACTATTGGGTCAAGATATGTTCACAGCGACACACAACCTTCAACTTGCTTCATTCAACCGGTGCTTGGGTTTAGTAGTTTAGGGCTCCCCGCCACAGAACCCTGCGAAACGGTGACCGTCATCAGCCCCCCAGACGAGGGCAACCGAGGCCCACGCGGACATGAACCAGCTCAGCCAGTAGACCTGGGCGCAACCTAGGACCTATGGAAGCGTATGCAACAACAACAAACTGATAACGCAAGCTGCGTCTTATGTTATGCTTGTGAGCGCATGCTCCGATACAGTTTAGCAACGGCGTTGTTTTGGTTTTTCTCTGGCTTGTTCTGGTTGCTCTCCCCCTAGACGTTAGCATGTTGTCTAATTGAGGCTGCATCTTCGTCACTAACAATTAACAAATCATGAAATTACTTTATCTAATATTCATATTTGTTTCAGATCCTTGACATGCAGCAAAACAGTATATGGGTCGGCCCCCATCGATTCTCGTGCTAGAGCAGACTTGTCAATTGCATATGATTCCTCTAACCATGGCTACCTCTTCCAGAGGTTTTGTCCGATGCTCATCTGATTTCACTGTGAAGCTTGCTATATTCAGCATCTTTATCGTAGGTTAGAAATGGGCACCAACTTCACATTGCCAGACATATGTGTGAGACTGTCTGTGTGAGGTTGTTTTCTGGTTATTGCCCTCCTCATGTTCTTGTATGTCGTACATGTGCTTATCTTCAGCTGCGAAAGTGGCCTTCTCATCTTTCATACTACAACGGTAAACGGTGATGTGTTAACTCCGTTTGTGTGACTCGTTTTTTTCACATGTGTTGCACTTCAATTTGCACTTGACGCAAATAGCACTGTCGGGGATTGGCAGCGTCTAGAAGTTGATCTGTTGCATGGAAGCTTACGTCTTCGACACATGGCCACTGTCGCATTGATAACTGCTTTCACCTTGATGGCTTCCCCCCCGCTTGCACTCCACGACAAGAACTCTTCAACTTACGATTAGCACACCGAGCCCTCACCTTTGCTGCATTGCACACGCCTCGGGCCAAGGGGTTCGGCAAGGAAAAGAAAAGCAGCGCGCCCACCTCTAATCCAAGCAAAAACATGCCAGGACAGCCCCCCCCCCCCCCCCCCCCCCCCCCCCCCTCGCCCCCAGACAAACAAAAAAAAAAACAAACTGCTCTCTCAAGCTTCGACAGCTGAGGAGCTCCCCTTTTTGTCCGCTTCCCCAAGCCCAAATCCCTCTCGGAGCCCTTCAAAATCCCCTACAAACGACCACACGGGTCCCGACGTTTGGGTGTTCCCCTAAACCCTAAACCCTAAACCCTAAACCCTAAACCCTCCACCCTAAACCCTAAACCCTAAACCCTAAACCCTACGAAGCCTTAGAACTCGGGCCGAAGGGCCCAGGTCTTCAGGCCCTGGATCCGCATCACGTCGCGCAGGTGCTCCTCTCTCCGGTTCCGAGAGGTTCACGGCTCGGGTTTAGGGCCTAGGGTCTTAGGGTCTTAGGGTCTAGGGTCTGGGGTCTGGGGTCTGGGGTCTAGGGTCTAGGGTTTAGGGTTTAGGGTTTAGGGTTTCGGGTTTAGGGTTTAGGGTTTAGGGTTTAGGGTTTAGGGTTTAGGGTTGAGGGTCCTTCAGGTTTAGGTCTTTAGGCAATCCCTGAAAGCACCGCCTCCGCGAGTTTCAAGTGTGTGCCAAGACATTGCGACAGCGGCCCTCCCGAATCCCCACCATAGCGGCCTGAATAATTAGAACAGGGTTTTGGGGGCTATTATAGTACAATTATATAGGGGCCATAAGGGAATACTGCTAGTAATTGTTCCGACCCCTATAGTACTCGGGCCTGCTTCTCGTAGACGATCTCGCGCACCATTAGGGACACGGCATAGATCCACCTCAGAGGTCTCGAAGCTGGTTCTGGGGTTTCAGAAATTAAGGGGGGTACCCTTCTTGGGGTCCTCATTATGAGGGGATCCTGCAATTTGGGGGTCCCTGATTTTCGTCAACCCCCATATCACTGGCTGAGGAGGCTCGAACCCACCTTCCCGGATACTAGCCGTCGGTCAGAAAGCGCTTGAATCGGTTCCGTGACTTCCGGGCGCTTGGGGCATCGGCCTAGGCTCCGCTCAGGAGGTTTTTTCGGAGTTCGGGAGCTTAGAGGGGGGGGTGGAGGGGGCCAAGCCCTAGCCCAGGATTGTTGATTGCAAGTTTCCCCAAACCCTAAACCCTAAACCCTAAAGCCTAAAGCCTAAAGCCTAAAGCCTAAACCCTAAACCCTAAACCCGAAACCCTAACCCTAAACCCTAAACCCTGGCAGTCGGAATCGGAAGCACACCCATTCCCAAAGCGATAAGGGCGGGACCCCAGAACCAGGAACATCGGCATCATGAACTGGATGATGCCGATGAAGTTGTCCACTTCTATCCTGGGTGTCAAGCCAGGGGTTCTAGGCGTGGTACCTTGGACCCTTAAGGTTGCACCCTTGGGTTTTGGGTTTAGGGTTTAGGGTTTAGGGTTTATGGTAAAGATCCTTAAGCCAATACAACCTTAGGGGTGCGAGCCTTAACCCCTTGAAGGGGTGGCGCGCTTGCAAAAACTGCCTGAGTGAGGAGGACGCCGAGTGGATACATGCCAGGGCTTCGGGGCAGCTGAACCCTAGACGCCCCCAAACAACGAAGGTCTAGGGTTTAGGGTTTAGGGTTGAGGGTTTCGGGTTTAGGGTGGAGGGTTTAGGGTTTAGAGTGGAGGGTTTAGGGTTTAGGGTTCAGGGCTCAGGGTTTAGGGTTTAGGCTTTAGGCTGAGAGTTTGGGAGGGGGGTGAACCTGGGGGGCCCCCCTACCGAGATGCACGCGATGAGTGCCCGCATACACTGCAAAAGTTAGTTACGCCAGACCATCCCCGGGTCGTCTGTAAACCGCACACCGCATGGCTTTGAAAGCTCAGTGAAGGAAACTCTAAGCCCTAAACCCTAAACCCTAAACTCCAAGCCCTAAACCTGAAACCCCTGCAGCCCATGGGAGCCCCCCCAAGGAAACAAGACTGGGGGGGTTCAGGATGTGGGTTCAGGAGTTAGGGTCCTGGCTTTAGGGTTTAGGGTTTAGGGTTTAGGGTTTAGGGTTTAGCGTCTAGTCTTTACTGTTCACTGTTTAGGGTTTAGGGTTTAGTTTAGGGTTCAGGGGGCCGCAAACCTCAAACCCTGAAACGGGGTTCGCGTGCATCATAGCTCGCCCTCTTTCAGTCCTTCGCTCCTTACATTGCATGATTTAGAAATCTCAACCGCGTTTAGGGTGTAGGGTTTCGGGTTTAGGGTTTAGGGTTTGGTTCAGTGTGCTCAAGCCCCGAAGAAGTCTCAAAATTCCACAATCCACAGGGGGCGGAGCAACGGCAAGGGAAACTGCTCCAGCATCACCTCAAGCGTTCTACCCCCAAAATGGCCGTCTGTCGTAGAATCTGATAGGACTCGTGGTAGGGTTTAGGGTTTAGGGTTTAGGGTTCGGGGATTCGGGTTCAGGGTTCAGGGTTTAGGTTTGGTGTGGAGGGTTCAGGGTTGGGGGTTTATGACTCTGGAAATAGAGACAAGTACGTTTGATGCTTTGGAGGAGTGATTCTTCTCATCATCATCGGTCTCCGTTCTTATGGGTTGCAAGGTCAGCAGTTCCAGACGTGCTTCGTGGCAGTAGAAATAGTGGCTTTTTCTTAGGCTAACAGTCCTTAACAGGGACCATCCCCATTAAGGACGGTTAGTATGGGGGGGCACATCCCAAATCTACACCCTGAAACCTAGTCTGGAGCCACCCACTAAACCCTCAACCCTCAAGCCTCAACCCTCAACCCTAAACCCTCAACCCTAAACCCTCAACCCTAAACCTCAAACCCTAAACCCTAAACGCTAAACCCCAAACCCCAAACCCTAAACCCTAAACTGATTGGAAAGCCCTCTCCGAGCTCGTGGCACGGAGTCGGCGCCCAGGCTCAGTGCGGAGATTCGCGGCGCTGTGCTGGCCTTACTGTTGGTTAGTAGGGAATGAGGGAATGAGATTTAGAGTTTAGGGTTTAGGGTTTAGGGTTTAGGGGTTAGGGTTTAGGGTTTAGGGTTTCGGGTTTAGGGTTTAGGGTTTCGGGTTTAGGGCTTAGGGTCTAGGGTTTAGGGTTTAGGGTTTAGGGTTTAGGGTTTAGGGTTTAGGGTTTAGGGTTGGGCACCCTATAAATAATCCCTTCAAGGGTATATATAGGGGGATATAGGGTACCTCATTCTCTCATTCCCTACGAACCAACAGTAAGTTGAGAAAAGAACATCGTTTGGGGCGTAGGGCAGTCGAGGTGGTTGGGGTGTAGGGTTCAGGGTTTTAGTTTTAGGGTTTAGGGTTTTAAATTTAGGGTTTTAGAGTTTTAGGGTTTTAGGGTTTAGGGTTTAGGGTTTAGGGCTTGGGGTTGGGGTTTTGGGTTTTGGGTTTTGGAACCTTTTAAACACCTCGTCTAAAGCTTCCTACAGGCCCTGATCGGACCAGCAAAGGCAGCCAAGAATCTAAAGAACCTGATAAACCCTAAACCCTAAACCCTGAAACAGCCTTTGGAATGTGCTACGGTATTGGCCGGTATTGGTCTGACGCACTGTGCACACGGTTCAGGACGCCTCGAACTCCGCGGGGATCTACCGAAAAGACCAAACAGCATGGTCCGGTCTGCTTGGGACTCTACGACCCCAAGAAGACTTAGCTTGGAGGCTCTTCGCCACTTAAAGGTCAGCACGACACGGTACTAGTTCGGGTGAATAGGTGCAAGGGTAAGCTCAAGGCTCGGAACTCCGGACGCAGGGCTTAGGGCTGCTTAGACTTGTGAGGAGTTTCGAGGAACGTTGGGCTGAAGGGCCTCCTGGCGTCTTGGCAGCTCCCAATCCTTCACGCCACGCTCCGAACATCTCGTGCGGCCCTTACGAGGACCGATGCTCCTTAAGATTTTCTTAACCCCACAACCCCGAGCCAAATCTCCAAAAACTCCCCCTGAGTGCCTAGCCAAGACCCTAAACCCTAAACCTTAAACCCTTAACCCTAAACCCTAAACAAAAGGCGGCCCGAAGACGGACACCCTAAAGCCGAAACCGCAAGAATCGGCTGACCCCAAACGGCCCCAAAGACTCCAACCCCGCTACTCCTGCTTCACCTCCCCTTTTTTGTAAGGGTACCCCTAAACCCTAAACCCTAAACCCTAAACCCCAAGCCCCAAACCCTAAACCCTAAACCCTTCACCTCCCCTTTTTGTAAGGGCACTAGGCTCCTGACCCACCACGGTTAAGGAGCCGCTCTTCCGCGCCTTCCGGCCAAGGCAGGGTTTAGGGTTTAGGGTTTAGGGTTTAGGGTTTAGGGTTTAGGGTTTAGGGTTTAGGGTTTAGGGTTTAGGGTTTAGGGTTTAGGGTTTAGGGTTTAGGGTTTAGGGTTTAGGGTTTAGTGCTTAGGGTTTTGTGTTTAGGGCCTAGGGTTCCAAGCGTAGGTTCTCCGCTCAGGGTTACTGTCGGAGAGCTGTTTGAAGGTTCCTCTGGATGCCTTTTTTTGAGGGCTGAGCAAGAAGAACTAGAGCCTGAAGGGTGGGAGAACAGGAGGCAAAAGGGAGAGAGAGAGAAAGGGGAAGGGACGTCATCTGCCTAAGCATGTTCGGGGTCTAGGGTTTAAGGTTGAGGGGTTTTGGGTTTTGGGTACCTGTGTACTGTTTCTCAGGCTCACAGGCACCAGACCCAAACGCTGCCAAAAACAGCAGACCCTAATTGAACCCGAACCTTCAACACCTACAGTGCGACCCGACCACAAAAGTAAACAACAACAGCATCATCGACGACTCCGAAGCAGCGGGGCCTCTCGAATGGCCTGAAATCGCGCCGCAGCACTGCCAATCACCTCGCGCGGGTCTTCGGACTTGAGTACTTGGAGTCAGCCGGGTTTAGGGCATAGGGGCATGTAGAGTGGAGAAGCTTGGGGTCAGTGCTTCAGATCTTCCCCACGGAGTCAACATCGGAGACCGCACACACACCGGGCTTTTTCGGGTGCTTGAATTTGGAGAAGGGTTTCCGAACATGCCGGAGCCCGGTTCAAGTGTGGTTCCTGTTCCAAAGAACTTGCAGATGAAACTCGCATTCTTCGAGACTGCACTCCGCTGCAACGCATCTTAACGACTCCCTCTCGACGCTGTGTGGGAATCTACACAGACCTCCCTTTTTTTGGCCATCGTGAGTCTGCGGAATCACACACACAGTGCCTGAACTCCCTGGACACTCAAGTGAATGCCACATGGGACCTATGCAAGGTAAGAATGTTCCTTGGCTACGGGCTACCATATCTTATCACCGTTGCACGAGGAAACACCCGGCAGTGGCTGCTAGCTGCAACAGCAACATCAGAAGCTGCAGCATTTTGCCCCGGCAGGTGGAACAAAGGTGAGGCAGGCTCGGCCTTTCTTCAGCGCTTGTCAGGTCCCTGGCTTTCGGGGCGCAGCTTTGACGCCCGGGGAACACAGCTGCTGACAAGCAAAATGTACAGAAGCGAAGGTGCCCTCCCACACGACTGGGATCCTGGGAAGTTGAGCCTTTCGCGTTAAGGCGGTCCACGCTGGACGCGGAAGGGCAGAAGGAAAAGCTTCCGTGTGTGTGTCAGCAGCTAAAGGGCAAGCAACACCCATGGAAACGGTGAAAACGATTGGGGTTGAGGCAACGCTCCAGATTCCCAAGCTTGCCATCCGGTTCTATGCATGAGAGAGAGAACCACCCTCCTTGGACTGTGAGCTTCCTGATCTTTTCCAGTGACCTGATATTAAGGGGGGGGGGGGGGGTCCTTTTGGTTGAGATGCCGTGGAGCTCCCGAATACCACAAGACATCCCCCAAACCCAAGGTTATGCACCCTCAACACTAAACTTTGAACCCTAAACCCTAAACCCCTAAACCCTAAATCCTAACCCCTGAACCCTAAACCCCCTAAACCCTATAAGCAGTGGTTCCTCATCGGCTCTTTTCAATCGATCAGGCAAGCGCGGCCCCGACTCGAGGAGCGGAATCCTTGGAAGGGCAAGGGGCCCAGAGGGTTTCGGGTTTAGGGTTGAGGGATTAGGGTTTAGGGTTTAGGGCTTAGGGCTTAGGGCTTAGGCTTAGGGCTTAGGGCTTAGGGCTTAGGGCTTAGGGCTTAGGGCTTAGGGCTTAGGGCTTAGGGCTTAGGGCTTAGGGCTTAGGGCTTAGGGCTTAGGGCTTAGGGCTTAGGGCTTAGGGCTTACAAAATGCTAAGCACAAGACCAAGAGTGCTGAACATCAACCAGCTTTGCACCCTGAAACAACCTCAACACCACAACCTTCGGACCCTTTATAGCCCTGCCAACCCTAAACCCTAAACCCTAGACTCTTGGAACATGTAGAACATGGTTCCAGCCCCTGGGCTGGGCTCAGGCTGCGGCCAGGAGGTCTGCGACATGTGCATCGAAGTCCGAGATGGAGGCAAAGTTGCGGTCCTCCCGTAGGGTTTAGGGTTTAAGGTTTAGGGTTTTGGGTTTTGGGTTTTAAGGGTGTTAGGTTTGGGGTTTAGGGTTTCGGGTTTATCGAGGACTGGGCGTCTCTTGTGGGCGAGAGAAATGGCACAAGACCCAGGTGTCCGTGACAGAGCGAAGCATCCAGTTGTCTGCCATCGGCGAAATCCTCGGACACAGGGTTGGTACCCGGGTCTGGCAAGGTTTTCCAAGTATACCTTAAGAACCCGAAACCTACTTTTTTTGGTAGGCTGTTTCTATAGAAAGGCAACCTACAAAAGAAAGGTAACCGTTGGTTGGGATTCTTGTCAGGTAGACTCGAGGGCGGAAGATTTGAAGCTCCAGAGTCTGGGGAGGGGGGGGGCATCCTTTTGGGGGGCTTGGCTCTGGCAAAGGGCTTGGGGTTTAGTTTGGGGTGTAGGAGTTAGGGTTTACGGTTTGGGGTTTGGGAATCTTGTCACTTCGAACCTTGTGCTTTGTAAACCCCCAACACCCAATCAACATCCCCCCCCTCCCCGCCCCAAAGCCGGCAACCAGGGCAAGGCAACCGTGACCTCACGCGTGCATTACAAAAAGCGGACCCACATATATTCAAAACTACTCCTTCCTCGTTTGATTCGACAGCGCTCGGACAGCTCCATGTGGCTAAGGCTCGTCAGGACCAACAGCCCGGCACGGCGCGCCTGGTCAAAGGGTTCAAGTACTGTAGTGGGGTCTTCCATCGAGGTTAAAGTAACTTGGGTTGATGTTTCGTCGGCTCTTTACGGAGTCTTTGCAACTTTCACGCGTGTCTGTTGAATCCTTCACACCTTCCACGAAACCCTAAACCCCAAACCCTAAACCCTAAACCCTTAACCCAAACCCTAAACCCCTAACCCTAAACCCTAAACCCTAAACCCCAAACCCCAAACCCTAACTCTAAACCCTAAACCTGCCTCCCAGAGTTCCACGGCGCTGCCCATCGAGGCCTCCGGAAGGTTGCCTTGCACGCCCTATAGGGTTTAGGGTTTAGGGTTTAGGGTTTAGGATTTAGGGTTTAGGGTTTAGGGTTTAGGGTTTAGGGTTTAGGGTTTAGGGTTTAGGGTTTAGGGTTTAGGGTTTAGGGTTTAGGGTTTAGGGTGTACATCCCTGAGCGCCGCCCTCAACAAGAGGCGGATGGGGAGAATCTTGGGGTCTGAAGTTCAGAAGCCCTCAAGCCCTAAAGCGCGCAACAGAGCCGGCCCTCGTAAGCTTCAGAGGAGGCCAAGAAACAGCGCGCATACATGGTGGTTCATGGGTACTTATCCGCCGACCCCAGCAACAGCGGGGCGGCGTCAGTGAAGACCCTCCCTGCCCTCACCGCAACCTCTTCCCCCTTCCCCTTCCCAACCATTCCACTCCACCTCTCCACTTGGCCCCACCATTCCACTCCACCTCTCCACTTGGCCTTGCCTTCTGCCCCTAACCTCCCACCACCAACCCCTTCCCCTGCCCCCCCTCCCCTTCCCAACAATTCCACTCCATCCCCCTCCCCCACCCCTTCCCCATCCCTGCCCCCCCTCTCACCCCCACTCCACCCACCACCAACCCCTTCCCGCCCCTCCTCCCACGACTCTTCAGCCACTTTCCACCAACCCCACCCACTCCCACCACCAACCCCCCCTCCCTGCCCTCACCGCAACCTCTTCCCCCTTCCCCTTCCCAACCATTCCACTCCACCTCTCCACTTGGCCCCACCATTCCACTCCACCTCTCCACTTGGCCTTGCCTTCTGCCCCTAACCTCCCACCACCAACCCCTTCAACCATTCACCCCATCCCCCTTCCCAACAATTCCACTCCATCCCCCTCCCCCACCCCTTCTCCATGCATCCCTGCCCGCACCCCCACTCCACCCACCACCAACCCCTCCCGCCCTTTTAACCCTGGCTCAGCCACTTACCTCATCTCCTCCACCAACCCCCCTCCCCCCCACTCCTCCCACCACCAACCCTCCATCCTCCTGACCTCCTACCCCCCTCCCCCCCCCACCCAGCCACTGACCTCATCTCTTTCACCTACCCCCCCTCCCCCCCACTCCCCCCCCCCCACCCCCCCACCCCCCCCCACCCCCCCCCCCCCCCCCCCCCCAACCTCCCCGCTCCTTCCCTATGCCCACTGGCTCATGGCCACCTGGTTTACCCCCAATCCACCCACCACCAACCCCTTCCCCGTACCCTTCCCCTTCCCAACCATTCCACTCCATCCTCCTCCCCTACCCCTTCCCCCATCCCCCCAGTTTCGGGTTTAGGGTTTAGGGCTCAACATGCAAGGGTTGCTACTCCCACCTAGTTTGTCCACGGCCTTACATATACCGTTTCAGAACTTAGAACCAAGGTTTACGGTTTCGGGGCTTAGAGCAGAGGCATTATCTCCCACAGTTGAGCAGGAGAAGGGGGGGGGGGTAACCGAAGGGATAGGGTTTGGGCAGCTTGGGCGTTTGCCTCCAAGGGGTCGGCGGCACTGGCGGTAGCCATTAAATCCGGCCCCCGCGCCGCCCGTGGTCCAGGGCGGAGCCCGCGTCGCACTAAAGCGCTAGCTTTAAGGGGCGAGCGCCCGAGCCGCCGACCCCGCCCAAAATTGCTTCAAATTCGCGCGGGGCCCTTCGGGAGGCCTCCAAAACCCAAGGGGACGCAACACGCGGTGGTGCGAAAAGCACGAAAACCTCGTAAAAACCATGGGTTTTTACGAAAAACCGAGGCCACAAAACACCCGCAGCACCCCATTAAACCCTCACGGGCGCGCATCATCGGCCCTAGCTTTTCACATGGGGCGCGGGCCAGGCCGAAACCACGTTTTTCAAGGTTTGGGGGGGGTACCGGAAGCCCAAAACCAGGCGAGCATCATGAGCATCAGCAGCCCTGGCCCGCGGGCCCAAGGCAAGAAAAAACGCTGAAAAACGCTGAAATCACCGTAAATACCGTGTTTTTATGAGGTTTTTCACGCGTGCCTCCGACCCCCACCCCTGTTGCCCTTGACCCGCCCCCAAATTGCGCATCATCGAAACCCACGTCCGGGGGGGGGTCTGCTGATGCTGCTGATGCGCGGGGTCCGGGCGCATCATCGAGCCATCGCTTCTCTTGGGCTTCGTGGGGGGGTCCGGGCCCACGGCCCAGAGACCCAGCTGATGCTCATGATGCTCGGTTTGGGGGGGTGTTCCAACAGCAGAAAACCTCGTAAATACCGAGTGTTTTGTGGGTCCACGTAAAAACGTTCCTAAAATCGCTCATTTTACGCGCTCGAACGGCTTCGTGCCTACAAAACACCCGAACAGCAGGACCCCGAATGCCCTTAAGGGCATTCGGGGTCTTGCTTTTGGGGGTTTCGTGGGAACGCAAGCGTTCAAGCACATACAATCGGCGTGTTTAAGGGGGTTTTGGATGGCCTGGGGGAGGCCGCTGATGCTCATGATGCTCCCTTTCCTGGGTCCCAAAGGGCTTCCCAAGCCCAAAAACACGTGTTTACAGCGTTTTCTGAAGGTTTTTCGAAGGCAAAACGCATGCATAGAATGCTTTTAAGGCCCCCAAACCAACCCCACTGATGCTGCTGATGCGGGTGCGCGCGCGCGCGCGAGCGCCGGGGGGGGGAGGGGGGGGAGGGAGGGGGGGCGAAGGCAGGAGAAAGAGAGACAGAGAGAAGGAGAGGACAAAGACACGGGAAAGAGAAGACAGTGCCAAGGTTCAAGGTTTCGTGCTTTGGGGGGCGGGGGCCGGCCCGTGCCGCTAGGCCTGAAATAAGTAGGGTCAGAAGAAGGGTAACTATGGCTATAACCTTATTGAGGGTACCTATAACCCACTCATAAGTACCCCATGAACCTTCAAGTATGGAGCCCAAGAGGCTCACAATGACATCGCACTCCTTGACCATGTCCACGACCTCCTCGGCCGAGGGGGGCCGATCTCTCCCCCCTTTGGGGTGGGGGCGGGGGGGGAAACCCCGAAGAGAACCCCCCCAAGCGTAGGACCACACACCCGTATGCTGGGAAACTCCCCAAGTGTGGAATCTCTGTAAGAAAAGCCGTCAGCCCTCGAAGCTGAACCCCAGGCCCGAACGCCTCAGACACGGCATTCTTCGATGTCTCTACTGTAGGAGCCTGAATCATTACAGTAGGTTTTTTGGGTGGGTTTGTATAGTATAATTCCACAGGGACCATAAGAGAATATTATTCGCAATTATTCCGACCCCTATATGACCGGAGAACGTGCCGTGCCTTTTGCGTCTCTTTGCATTCCGGCTTCCCATGGCTTTCGTAGTGCTTCTCTGCAAAGTGCCCAAAGCAAGCACGCACTCCTGCCTAGAGAAGAGGACATATGCATATTTACAAAGAACAATGTCTGTATATATATATATATACACATCATATATATATATATATATATGATATATATATATATTATATATATACACACCCTAAAACTCCTGAGACTAGCGTCGTTGAAGGCACTTCGCACGGCTGCGTCGTCCTTGTTCCAGTCAGCAATGGTCGCTCCACTCCTCCCGGGACGTTGAAGAGTTTAGAGGGAGTTTAGGGGTTTAGGGGTTTAGGGGTGTACGGGTTTAGGGGTTTAGGGGTTTAGGGGTTTAGGGTTTAGGGTTTAGGGGCCTGGGCACAACTGACCTTGCTATTCGAAGGGTTCATGAGTCCTCACCGGAGCAAGCTTGAACATTGGTGCCACCAAGAAAATAACGCGAATTAACGAAGCGCCAGTTTAGAGCACCACATGGACCGTTGTCCAGCAACCCACATCACAACCAGACCCAGATGACATGACGCCCGACAAAATGCTGACTTTAAGTAAGCTCCGCACGTACGACTAAAGTTCCGCATGCGGGTCCACATGATCGACACGTGCAAGCAGAAAGCTGCATTCAGAGAAACGCAATGCCCTTCAGAGTAGCTGAGGGTGGGGGGGGCTTGGGGTTTAGAAGGGTATACGGTTATTGTAAGTTTCAGGGTTTACGGCTTAGGGGTTTGGGTTTAGGGTTTCGGGCTTAGGATTTAGGGTTTGGGGTTTCGGGTTTAGGGTTTCGGGTTTATGGGGCTAGGGTTCGTAGGGTTTACGGGGGTTTGAGGGGAGGAGCGGGGCCTGGCGGCACGCGCCTGGACTGCCTCCCGGCACATGGTGAGCATGTTGTGGGCCCGTTGCTCTGGATTTTTCAAGCTTTTTAGGACTGTGCTAGAGTGTTGGGGTTTAGGTTTAGGGTTTAGGGTTTGGGGGTTTCGGGTTTCGAGTTTAGGGTTTAGGCTTTGGGGTTTAGGGCTGTAACAGGACCGGCCGGACTCGGACGTTTTTTCTTTGCCAGGCCCTGTGCACGAACGAGGCCCGTGCAAAACTCATACGCGCTTACTGAGTCGTGTTTCAACGCCGTGTTCAAGCTTGTCGGTGGCCAGAGGGTGCGTGGTTAAGGCTCGGGGAGTCCCGAGGCGGCAGGCTGGCACCGTATTCGCTGCCGCCAGGGTTGGAGTTGAAAGGCTTTGAAGGCCCATGTCGCTCGGGGGCACAATTAGCGTTTTGGGTTTCGGATTGAAGGTTTAGAGTTTAGGGCTTAAGGCAGTTTAGGGTTTAGGGTTTAAGGGCATTGAGATTCGGGGCTGGAAGAAACTTCCGTCACTGTATTTACTGCTGTGGAAGCTCTATACATCGATGCACGAAAATCTTAGGGTCTAGTTCTGATTATTATAGGGTTCAAACTACCTTAATGTGATTAAGTCCATGATATTCATAGAATAACAATAGTTATTCTGCTGGATTGCCAGAAAGCATGGCAGACGGAATACCCTAAACCCTAAACCCCAAACCCTAAACCCTAAACTCGCTTAGAAGCCTCCAGGGGATCGACGATGACCGCCTCCGGATCAGCCTCACAGAACCGGTCCAGGGAGTTTGGGGGGAACCTTCTGAGCTCAATAGGGTTTAGGGTTTCGGGTTTAGGGTTTCGGGGTTAGGGGTTTAGGGTTTAGGGTTTAGAGTTTAGGGTTTAGGAGTTTAGGGTCTAGGGTTTAGGGTTTAGGGTTTAGGGGTTAGGGTTTAGGGTTTAGGGTTTAGGGTTTAGAGTTCAGGGTTTAGGGTTTAGGGTTTAGGGTTCAGGGTTTAGGGTTTAGGGCTTAGGGCTTAGGGCTGACGAAAAGAAGGGAGCCCTTCTGCCCCTAGTTTCGAAAGCCCCCGCAGTCAAGCCTCGATGTACGCTTGAGGGCGTTGGGGCTTAGACCCCTCGACCATCCAAAACACCGAGAGGCCGCGGCCCCTAAACTTCCTGGAGTTCGACCGCTGAAACCGTCCCCTCTCCGAGGTGCGCATGCAGATCTTAGACCTCTCCTTCCAACAACCGAAGTCCCGCAAACAAAGCTACAACCGAAGTCGGGATGCTTAGGCATGCCATGATCCGCGGCCAAAAAGTTGTGCTACGCGACTCGGCACGTACGTCCCAAAACTCGACTGCATTCCCAAAGTTCCACCTCAAAAGACAAACTGTGAAGCCTTAGAAAGGAACGCCCCCCCCCCTTACGCAAACTCTCTTATTCTGGGCGGCTGCCAAAGCCACCTTCAGCAAGGCATCTGCAATCTGTTGCCGGTAGTTCTGCGGCAGCAGCCCCTCCTCCTCCTCTTTGGGAAACCAAGGGGTCAGGGTCCTGACATTATGCCTACCCCAAAGCGCCCAAAAACAACCCCCTTGGTTTCAGAAAGTACATCATGAAGCGTAGCAAGGATGCCCGTATCGCTTGAAAAGTCGAGTTATTCCCTATTGAGGGCACCTGAGTCCCAGAAACAGCCAAGAAAAAAGTTTAGGGAATTATGTATATATATATATATATAGTTTTTGTATTTATATTTTTTCATTTTCCTGTTTTTTTTTGCTGGGGGGGCGGGGGGGGGGGGGGGGGGGGGGGGGGGTCCGGGGAGGCCTTCAACTTCTTCCGGCTCCCAAGCATCACGCCCGAGATGAAGTACCTCCTGCAGGTGGGCGGGGCTGTAAACCCAGCCAAGGCCCTAAGAGCGCCACTTGAACTGCAGCTTGCAGGGGGTGTGGCCGGGGGAAAGCGGTGCAGTGGTGGTCTGTTCATGCTGCGATCATGGTAAACTATGGCTTGTAGCCGTGATCCCGAGGAAGCGGAACAGACGTGCAAATTGCCTGGTGGCTTAAGCGTGGTCGCATCTTGGCTCGGTCTTCTGCAGTTCGTCGACAACTACCACCCACAGCCAGTGACTCAACCACAAAACCTGGAAGATGGGGAGTTTCCGAAAATTCCCTAAGATAGAGCCCCAAAGAGTATGATTCCCTTACAATAAGGACCCGAATAAGGTACCCCTCATTTCGGAAACCCTAAACCTTAAACCCTAAACCCTAAACCCTATACCCTAAACCCTAAACACTAAACCCTAAACCCTACTTCCCCCCATATTTAGTCTCTTCGGTAAGCATGACAGGCGCCTGCCTCGGCCCCCCATTGGCTGCCGCCCGCGACCGCTTCCTGTGATTCAGGGCAGAAGCTGAAAGGAGCTATACCCAAAGACTCCCAAATACCCCTGACATGGAGGAATACTGCTTGTGAACCATATAAGGAACCGTTCTAATACGTGAAGGAAGAGTCCTTCAAGAAGGTCCCTGGGATTCAAAAAGGTAAAGCAAACATAAAGATCCCTGCCGGCGAAGCCACGAAAAACGCCGAGTACGCAAGGGCCTGTAGCAACTGCGTCGCAGTCTTGAGTCTTGCTTGGTAGCCCAGGAACCATCTTATGATGAGGGCACCCTTTTTGTTGCTTGTTATTTTATAAGGGAAACCAGAACCCAAAAAAGGGTAAAGGGTACCACTGGGCTACCAAGCTTGAGGCAGCTCGCCGTGAGACCAAGGGGCGACTCGAACCTTCTTCGGTTTCTGGGAACTAACCCGAAACCCGAAACCCTGAACCCTAAGCCCTGATCCCAGAACCCTTTAAACCCTGAGCCCAAAACTCCTAAGCCCCAAACCCTAAACCTTAAACCCCGCTCTCAGCACCCCCATGCCTCGCTGGCTCAGCGATGTCCTCACGCGCAGGACGGAAGGGACCGAAGCCATTGGCCCACGCGGGCCGGTCCTTTCGAGTGGCGGCACTTGGTGCAGATGTTCTGAAACATATTGGGGTCCCTTTTGGGTCCTTAATATAAGGCGGCCCCTCTCATTTTAGGGTACCCAAAGGATCATCATTTTGAGAACTCCCAATATGTGCTCCTCCACCCCCCCCCCCCCCCCCAAGAAAAAAAAAGGAAACACAAACTACCTCCCGTACGTTTTGTCAAGCACCTACATACACTCGCTACTGCAGATTTTGCTTTCTGCACCCCTATGCTGGCATTGGAAGATCATGTCTGCGCGTGTATGCATATGGGCGTTTCCGAAAATAGGGGTACCACTCCTGGGGATGCCTATCATAGGGACGATACTATTTTGGGGTACCCTGGAATACCCATCTACGGCTGTGAAGGATGTCTTTCAACGGCTTCTTGCTTGGTTCAAAGGATGCTTCAGAGGCACCTTGTAGGCGACGCCCGTCTCGTAGTAGCTTTCAGGGCATCCCGGTGCCACCAAGTTCCTCCAAGACTCCAAGACACCAAGGCTTGAGGCGTGACGCCCATGGGCCATCAACTGCAGGCATCGATACTGAGGGCCTCAAAAAGCCTTAAGCCAAAAAGCCAAAAAGCCCCCTAGCTAAGCATTCTTCTGAGGCCGCCTTGGACCAGAGAAGTCCAGGAATCCCCGAACGTCAAGACACCCTACGACAAGGAACAAAGAGCAATGAACTACAGCAAGCCGATTTTCAGACCTGCGGCTGTAAAACCTCGTACACTTCGGGTTGCAGCCGGAAACATGCCCTTCCTCACAAAGAACACTCAACACGCATGAACCACAACAGCTACGAACTGGGCTCAACAAAGCTTGGCAGACCACGCGCCTCCCTGTGTCCTCCATGCCAAGTGAGAGAAGGAACCTGAAGAATGCTGAAACTGCTCGCAAAAAGGCTTCAGGGCGCAGTCTGTTGCACAGGTATTGGGCCAGAAGCCTTTGGGTTCACGGCGCAGAAAGAACCTTCGACACCCGACATCCCAAAGCCCTGAGCCGCTTGCTGCTGTTGCTGCCGTGTGGCGGCCCCGTTGCGGCTGCGAAGTCCTCTACGCTGCGCTGCTCCTGGCACCAAGCCACCTCCTGCGTGGCGTTGAGGGCTCTGGGCGGCTGAGGGTTCTTCGGCCCCGGGGTCCTTTCTTTACAGGGCACACTCCTTAAGCTTTGCCTTCTACCTCACAAAGCTTGCAGGAAAGGGCTAAAGGGCTGGAGGGGCTAAAGCCCAAATCCCCAGATGATTTCCTACTTGAAGGTTGCTTGGGCGGAGCAATTCCGGGCGGTCAGGAACCGCAGCTACATGAGGCAGCTGAAGAAGGAGCCCTCCTAGCCACTTAGCTTCCGGTATTCAATGCTGTTCCGGCATCTGACCCCTTCTCTTCAGCGCTTCGGGCTCGAGCTTACACTTCAATGCTCGCAGCCGGGTCATGCGCAGCGCCCTCTGGAGTTAAGTGGCTGAGCAGTGCATTCAATCATTCACCCAATGCCAAGATAAGAGCCTGCCCCTTAAACCCGCGGTCCGTAAACCTAAACCCGTCCTCTTCACTGGAGCAGCTCTGCCGCAGCATCTCCGTGTTCACCTTCGGCGAAGAGGGCTTAGGGCTTAGGGTGTAGGGACTCTTACCTTGAACCGCTAAGGAAGCCTGTTTCAAGATCCCCCCTATAAGGGAATATAACAGCCATGCTAGGAGTCAAGCAAGGGTCCCATGATTATAGGGCTTCAATGCCTGACTCAAGCAAATGAGATGTTTACACTAGTGCTCTTGCACGATTCATGGCAAGAACAAACTGATAGTTCAACGAGAAGGAAGAAGGGCAATGTGGCTACTAGCAGAAGTCAACTAAAGATCGCTGCCTACCAATACCAGCACAAAGAAGTCCACGCGCAAGTTTGTCCAGAACCATGCTACTTCGTCAGAGGATTCTCGACCTCGAAATAACAGATGCTGTACAATTCGTCCGACCTTATACCTACGATGCATGTCTAATAGGGCAGGAATTGATCATATATCGCTAGAGTAGATTCATAGGGTTCAAAGGGATTTCTGGGGTTCATGGGGCCCTTCCCTAAGATACCCCTCAAGACCTACACCCCATACCCTACACCCTAAACCCTCCGCCCTAACCCTAAACCCTTTTACCCTGAACCCCAATAAGGTCTACAGGGCACATAAGGGTTTCAAAAAAATTCCGGCGGGCAGCCACGCCCGGGTCCAAGGTCACCGCGGCGATCTGGGCAGAGCGCAGCTCCAGGGCAAGGGTCCTCGCCCGAGGTTAGGGTTTGGGGTTTAGGGTTTATGGTTTAGGGTCTAGGGTTGGAGTCCTTACCGGGGCTACGGGCTCTTTAAGGGCCTTTAGGGTTTGGGGTTTAGGGTTTGGGGTTTGGGGGTTGGGATTTGGAGTTTAGGGTTTGGAGTTTACGGTTTGGAGTTTAGGGTTTGCCTTTCGGGTTTTTAGGGTGGAGGATTTCGGGTTTCGGAAAGAAAAAAGGGTTCCTTCCCTCTGAAGGCAACCTGAACATGCTGAAGCCGACTGTTTTGCAGCCAGAGCGTCTTGCCGATGGCCTCCACGGCCCACTTTGTGGCGCTGTAGCAGCCCTTGCCAGTGACAACCTGGCTGGGAAGATAGCAATAAGTCGCGCAAACCCCACGTGGAGGTTCATGGGTACTGGGTAACTGTGGCTGGAACCTGATGTAGGGTACTTCTAGCCCCTCTTATAAGTACCCATGAACCTTCGAGCACAAGCCACAAAACACAAGCAACACTTTGGAACCTTCTCGGGTCGGACAGCCGAGCCTTCCCCGCAAAATATTTAAGATCGCACATGAGCCTTGACTAAACAAAGGGCCGGTTCTTAAACCCTAAACCCAAAACCTCAAACCCCTAAACCCTAAACCCTAAACCCTAAACCCTAAACCCTAAACTCAAGCCACGTAACCCTGCCCGCCCCCGAGGCTCATGAGTGCTGCCAGGCGGCCGAGCGGCCGTAGCGAGAGGAGACGAGGACGATGAGACTCCCAGGCCTTTGGGCTCGGGAGTTTGCTTGGGGAATCACGGGCCAGAACCCGGCTCCTCGCAAGGTTTAGTTAGGGTTTAGGGTTTAGGGCACTTGCAACCCAGATGAAACTGTACTTGTAAGCCCCGTCAAGTCCCCTTAGTAGGCCAGAAGTACACTTCTACTTCGGGTTCTAAGTGCCCATGAACCTCCAAGTAGGGCTTCGGGTTAAAGGCTTCAGGCTTAGGGTTTTAGGGTCTAAGGCATAGGGTTTGGGAAAAAGGCTTCGGAGGTTTAAGGCTTAGGGTTTAGGGTTTAAGGTTTAGGGTTTCTTGGTCTTTCGGAGAAGTCGTGTACCTTCTTCATGCGAGGCATGCTGCTGGGGCTTGGGGACTCGCTTCTGGCTGTGGAGTGAAGGCCGCCCTTTCAAGAGCGGGCAAGAAGGACCCAAGAAGTGAAATCCTTGCACGCCTCAGCCCTCATGCCCCGAAACCCCGAAACCCCTAAGCCCCTAAGCCCCTAAACCCCTAAACCCCTAAACCCCTAAACCCCTAAACCCCTAAACCCCTAAACCCTAAACCCTAAACCCTCCTAAACCCAAAACCCTAAACCCCTAAACCCCTAAACCATCCTAAACCCTACACCCCCCTGTGACTCAAGGCCCCCGGCTTCATCAGCGGCACGGCGTGGCGCAGCGCGCGGACGGTGCCCAGGACATTCACGTCCTTTGCCGGGGGGAGGGTTTAGGCTTTAGGGTTTTCAGGGTTGAGGGTTCTAGGGTTTTAGGGTTTTAGGGTTTAGGGTTTAGGGTTGAGGGTGTAGGGTTTAGGGTTTAGGGTTTAGGGTTTAGGGAGGCACTTGGGCGCCTGCATCTTCCAATGACAAAGAGGAACATCAAACGGTTTAGGGTGTAGGGCTGAGGGAATTCGAGGGTGTTAAGACTTGTATCTAAATTCCTACGTTTGGAAACCCACGAGGCTTTTACAGTTGTTTAATGATTGGTTAAGCAAGTTTGGGTTTACGAATCAGAATCCGGAGGGGCGTGATTCAGCTGTTTGAAGCTGCCGTGCCAGGGTCGTTTACCCAAGCCCTCCAACCGACCCGAAGCCTCGACCGTACGCGCTACCAGGCGCACACCCGAGACACCGAGCACACTCCCGCCACAGGCCCCAAAGCTATGCAACACCTTTACCAGCCACAATCCCTCTCACACGGATGCGGAACAGCGGGCTTCCATCGGGATTTCTTGATTAGGGCTGAAGTTTGTCTAGGTGCCTTTCCACCCTCATCAAGCTAAGCAAGCAAAGCAAGCCTGCAACCGCGAGCGGCATCAAAGTACCCAAAGTCGCAACCCAGAATCCCAGCGCCTAGCCTAGCCCCAAGTAGACGGTAACATTGATGAGCCGATCCCTTCTCTCTGCTAACTTGCAAAATAGTGTGTAGGGTTTAGGGTTTAGGGTTTAGGGTTTAGGGTTTAGGGTCCAGGGTCTAGGGTCTAGGGTTTAGGGTTTAGGGTTTAGGGTTTAGGGTCCAGGGTCTAGGGTTTAGGGTTTAGGGTTTAGGGTTGAGGGTTGAGGGTTTAGGGTTTAGGGTTTAGGTTTTAGGAGTTTTTGTTTGAACAAGATGCTCAACATTCTTGAGCGCCTGGCACAGGCCCTCTGCCATTCCTCCTCCGGCGTCTCCCAAACACCTCTCCAGGAAAGGCTAACGGCATCCCATCCCCATGTCTCAAACAAGAAGGAGAGAGTTTAGGGTTTAGGGTTTAGGGTTTAGGGTTTAGGGTTTAGGGTTTAGGGTTTAGGGTTTAGGGTTTAGGGTTTAGGGTTTAGGGTTTAGGGTTTAGGGTTCATGGTTCAGGGTTTAGGGTTTAGGGTTTAGGGTTTAGGGTCTAGGGTCTAGGGTTTAGGGTTTAGGGTTTAGGGTTTAGGGTTTAGGGTTATAAGATTAATCGTAATAATAGTACTAGTAATAGTAGCAAGTCCGGCCAGGCTGCTGCCCTGGCTCGGCATGGCGCCCGCACAGGCGACAAGCATGTCTAGGCGCCTCCGCGACACGGAGTCTTTCTCACGTGGGGTGGAACCCTAAACCCTAAACCCCAAGCCCCAAACCCGAAACCCGTGGTAAGGTTTGGAGGGTTGGGGAGATGCTTCAGGGGTGTTCATCACCTTCGGGCTTCGGACTCTGGGCACTTTCGGGAACATTTTGCCCACACGCCCAAGTCAACAGGATCTATGGGTTTTTTTTGGGAGGGGGGGGGGGCTTTGGGGGTCCGGCGCCTAACCCAACATCCTTCAACTTCAGCTACAACCTCTTACCAATGTTGCTGAAGACCCCGAAGTACTTCGTCCCGAAACCCTATAAGTCCTGAACTCTAAGGTTTTAGGGTTTTAGGGCTTTAGGGTTTTAGGGTGTTAGGGTGTTAGGGTTTAGGGTTCATCTTACAGCCATCTGGGTGGCCAGGCCCCCACTTTTCGGCGATGCTGCCCAGCCAGCGCCGGAGATCTTCTTCCTGGCGCACATTGACCTGCGCCCCAGCCACACTTGCAGGGTGCTGTGCCTATTTCTGTTGGAGATGTCATCTGTTTTCTACTCTTTTGGTTTGGAGGGGGGGGGGGGGATCGGGTCAGGCAGCGAGAGGCAACAGTGTGCAAGCACTTGAATCCTCACTGGGAACGGCTACCAGCTGCAACGCCACAAAAGAAGCCCCCCCGCCCCCCCCCCCCTCTCAAGGACCGAAGAGCCTGAAGCGAAGTTCCGTAAGGTTTCGGGGCCTCGCCGATGACGGCTTCCGGGTGGGCTCGCCTTTTGGGAAGGCTTGGGATTTTGGGGGGCTGAGGGGCTTCGAACCTTCGCCCCATCTGTTTCATAGCTTCGAAAAAAAAGGGCCAGTGAGTGTTCCTACGAAGTGAAGCTTTAAAGATTGCTCTGAGCATCTTGTAGCAGTCGCTCTGACTATCTGATGTATCTGAGCACAGGATTCTGGCTGCATTCCTGCGACTCCGCCGAGATCCCAAACCCTCAGGCAAGAGCTTGGCAACAACACACTGCGCAGGCGAAACCCTAAACCCTAAACCCTAAAGCCTAAAGCCTAAACCCTAAACCCTAAGCCAGCATCAAAGCATCCGCCTCAGCAGCTCCAACTCCGCTTGGGCGGTCCCGCAGCCCGCGGCATGGTGCTCCTGGTTTAGGGTTTCGGGTTTAGGGTTTAGGGCTTAGGGTTTAGGGTTTAGGGTTTAGGGTTCTCAGGGCCCTTGTGGTCGATTATGGAGTTGCGTTTCCTTCTGGAACATGCTGCTTCGTGCTAGAGCTTGTAGAATGATGGTTGCCAGCGCTTGGGGGGTTTATAGACTTGCTTAGCCAGATTGTCGTCCCCCTAGCCCCTGAATCCTCAGGCTGCGCGCGCTGCGCGCCGAAATCCGTTCCTACTCAAAGCTTGGCAGAAGAGGGCCCTAGATACAACAATTGAGTCGAAGCGGCACCCCCAAAAGCCCGAAAGCGCCAACAGGCAGCGAGGCCTCCGAAAGAACAAGCACCGAACCCCTGGACTGGGCCCTGAAAAATCATTGGGTCGGGGTTTAGGGTTTAGGGTCTAGGGTCTAGGGTCTAGGATTTAGGGTTTAGGGTTTCGGGTTTAGGGCCCACAGAGCTTGAAGATGTTTCCCCAAACTCCACAGTAAAAAGAGTCCGTGGCCTTGGCAAACCACTGCAGGAGGGCCCGGCCAATTCCTCCAGAGCGCAAGGTGGCTTTGGGCTTTGCCGGAATGTTTAGGGCTTACGCTTTACGGTTTAGGTTTGGTTTCACAGCTTTATATATATATATATATATGTATTATTGAGGCAATTAGGGACTTCACTGCGAGCGTCCCTATGAAGAGCACACTCAGCACGAAAAAAGGAGCCCGAAAATACATTCCAGACACCTCAAAAGCAGATGCACCACACGCATCGACACGCCACACCCTTCACTTTATAAGTCCAACACACTTGACACCCCTTAACGCCCTTAAACACCCCTTAACACCCTTAAGCACCCCGCACCCTGAAAGGGAACCCTAAACCCTAACAGGGCTCACAGGCGTCCTCGTGTGCAGCCCGTCACAGCGACCACGCGCTTGGACGAAGCCATGGCTGGCTAGGAGCCCTTCTTGTACAAAACTCTCAGGGTTTAGGGTTTAGGGTTTAGGGCTTAGGGTTTAGGGTTTAGGGTTTAGGGTGTTAGGGCTTCATTTAGGGTTTAGGTGGGAAGAGATGGTGATGAAACAGGCGACGGAACCTGCACCTCAGAACATGATGTAGGTTTCCGAGTGTCAAAACCATCTGAGTTTACGGTTTGCAGGGTTTTGAGTTTAGGGTGTAGGGTTTATGGAGCTTAGGGATTTGCTTTAGGGGTCAGGGTCTAGGGACACCCCTGGAGTGCTGAGAGTATTTTCAGTTTCCTGTGGTTGCTTGCGGTGTGTTGGGCCTTCCGGTTCTTGCACTCAAGGCAGCCCACACACACACCTGAAACCCTAGACCCGGAAACCCCCCAAGACCCCTAAGGCCCAAAAAGCCCCCAAAAAACCCTAAAAAAAAACTCTAAAACCCCGAAGCCCGCCAAACCCATTAAAAATGACCCTAAACCCCAAACACCTCTCAAAACCCCTAAACACCCCTAAAAACCACTGAAAACCGCCAAAAAAAACCTGCAAAAACCCCCTTAAAAAAAACCCTAACAAATCCTAAGCCCACCTCCTGGAGCAGCGTGAAGCCCAAGTCCATGTAGGGGTAGTTGTAGAAGATCCCGCCCCCTCAGAACTGCCGGTTCGGGAGGTCAGGGTAGGTTGTAGGGCTTCAAGGGCTTTAAGGGCTTTAAGGGCTTTAAGGGCTTTAAGGGCTTCAAGGCCTTTAAGGGCTTGGGGTTTAGTACCTTTAGGGTTTAGGGCTTAGGGTTCGGGAGGTTCGGGTTTCGGACAGTTCTTGGCGAAAGCCTCGGAGCCCAGCACTGCAAAGGGAAGGTGCCTGAACCCTAAACCCTAAACCCTAAACCCTAAACCCTAAACCCTAAACCCTAAGGGGTTCAGAGGGGAAAAGCCGGCCTCTTGCACCACGAAGCTTCGGGAGTGAAGAGATGCCCGGATACCAGAAAGGCTAAGCAACCGCTACACATTGCGGCATGTTCCCCCCTTAAACTAACAGCTCCTTAGTAATAAGGACTGTTCGTAAAAGGCGGAACATTCCAAATTTCATATGATAAACACACACACACACACACACACACACACACACACACACACACACACACACACACACACACACACACACACACACACACACACACACACACACACCACACACACACACACACACACACACACACACACACACACACACACACACACACACACACACACACACACACACACACACACACACGCACACACACACGCACACACACGCACAGGCAAATGGGGCCCCAGTGCATCGAAGCAACGGACGAAGCCGGCACGCGAAAACCTGCACCACCCCCCCCCCCCCCCCCACAGCTGGGTTTTGAAGGGGGAAGAGCTTTCTGTTTTCATTTACCGGCGGCTTGGAGCCAAGACAAATGCCCAGATTGGAAGGTTCAAGAGGCACTCAGACCTAGGTCGATGCAGAGCTTTAGCGTGACATGATGCTCTTGCCAGCTGCAGGAGCAGAAGAGCCCCCGGCCTCAGGATGCGAGAGGTCGATGGCAAGAGCTGGGCATTGACCTGTCGCACAGCTCCCCAAACAAGTGGGCCACTGGCGTGTTTTAGGGGGATTTGGGGGGGGGGGGGGGGGCATATTCTCGCCGAAGAGAAGTACTCAGCAAAGCGCTGTGAGGTTCGGGGGTGTAGGCTTGGCTAAAGGCTCCAGATCTAGCACCCCGACTCCACTCTCTTTGATCCTCAACCCTACCTTGGCTTGAGAACCACATAGGGTTTAGGATTAGGGTTTAGGGTTTAGGGTTTAGGGTTTAGGGTTTAGGGTTTAGGGTTCAGGGTTTAGGGTTTAGGGTTTAGGGTTCATGCAATTCACGAGAGCCGTCTCTGAAAGTGGGTGTTGGCGAGGCAAGATTTCCGTGCAGAGTCGCCGGACCATGAAAGCGCATATCATGCACTTCGAGCCTCTGAAGTCGAGGCACCCAAAGATCCCTACACAACACAAACCCCCCAAATCCCGAACTCTCCCCGGAGCATCATCGGGGAGCACCCCAAACCCCTAAGCCCCTGAACCTTGGTATGTTTCCCGCTTGTACCAACAGTCCTTAGTAGGGATTACAAGAAGGTTAGGGATTATAATCGGGGGTACGTAATCCCAACCAAGGACTGCTAGTATGAGGTGGAACATCCCAACCTCAACCCCCTAAAACCCTGAAACCCTGAAACCCTAAACCCCTAAACCCCTAAACCCCTAAAGCCCTATCACTGGGGCCCCGGTCTCTGATCGAGAACTCCGCATCCATGTGATCCTCTGGGAAGTCGCCTCGCGACTCATTTTCTACAGTTTTAGGGCTTGGAGGTTTAGGGTTCAAGGATTAGGGTCTAGGGGTTTAGGGGTTTAAGGGTTTTGGGGGTTGAGGGTTTAGGGTTGAGAGGGTTTGGGTTGTTAAGACTCTGCAAGGCGTAAGGCGCGAACAAACAGACGATTAAAAAACACAAGCCGCCCAGGCCCCAACGCAAGCGCCGTGTCCCAGAGCCATGAGCCACAACCGCTGGTAAGCCCTAAACCCTAAACCCCCAACCAAACCCCGGGCGTTGCCTTTTTGGATCTCCAAAAGAGGATTCAAGAAGGCAATGCGCAAAAAAAAGACACATATATATATATATATATGTATATATATATATAATAGGATCGGGTTGCTTCGGTTGGGTGGGGAATCGAATCACTTTTGAGCATTGGGAGGTTTTGGGGGGGCCGGAGGGCTTGGGCCACCCAGCACCCGCACCGAGAACTCAAAACCTACCTCTTTGTTGCAGGGGTTTTGGGTTGAGGGTTCAGGGTTTAGGGTTTAGGGTTTGGGGTTTGGGGTTTAGGGTTTAGGGAATTGCTATTTTGGCCAAGACACTCTCAGCCCCAACAGGGCTTTCGAGAACAGTGTTCTCTAAAGCCCCCATCCGAAGCAGACTTCTCGTGTTACTATGCTGTACCATTGAGCTACTCTGTCAGATCATGCTTCACTAAGCCGTATCATGCTTTCCTCCACATTTTCTCACGTATGTTATCCTATCCTAAATGTGATTTTCAGCTATATGGCGGGGTTTACGATCATGCGCAACCCCGAATATAGATCCCAAATAGTAAGATGCCCTTAGGAAAAGGTCCCAAACAAGGTACCCCCCCCCCCCCTAGTGTCGTAGACCCATATCACCTTCTGCCGTGCTGAAAACCCCCTCTTCGGCGCCAAGTCAGTGGCCATTTGCGTTTGCTGACCGGAACTCAATGGCCTGGCATTTTATGAGGTCTACAGGGTAGGATGGGACCCCTACACCCGAAACCCGACAAAACTGCCTCAAAATTGACCCAACAACAAGTACACGAGATTTTGGGTTCAATGAACTGCTGAGTGCGGAAGGTTGGTTTGAGGCATTCAGGTTGATCCAGGGGGTTCATAGGGTTTGAGGGGCTGGTTGATGTGGGGGGCCCAACGCGGCAACCGGAAGCGGACCTACGCCGCACGCGACCCTAGGTGATCGGACCCTGAACCCTAAGGCCACATGACATGCCTAGAAGCTTAAGTGGTGCATCAAAACTCGACCACGTTGAAAGCACGCCGTGCGTGCGGCACAGATGAGGTGGGGCATGCCACATCAATTATGAATATGTTAAATTTCCGATTTTCCAGCCTAGCAGCTCAAGGAACTGTACGTGCTTCGGATGTGGAATTCCAGGCCGCGACTAGGGTTCTGGCTACACTCCCCTTAGAACCGTAGTGAAAATAAGCTGTCTATCATTCTCTAGGGTGTCGTATAAATACAACCAATCACAATTTTCAAGGGGGCTATAGGAATCTGCTGTATTCTGAACAAACATGCTCAGGGCAGCCATCAGCACTTCGTCCGGCTGGCGGCGCGCAAAGTCCTTCCGCTTCGGAGGCCCAAGGCTCGGGACATTTGGGCGTGTGCCACATGCAGAGATCGGAGCTTAGGGTTTAGGGTTTCAGGGTATAGGGCATCTACCCTGAACCCACTTTGAAAAGCCGGAGCCCTCAATGCAAACAACTGCACCCCAGCTCGCACGTTGGCGGACCAACAATATCCAACATGAAGCCCCATCATCGCGAACTTAGGTTTACCCTTGAAGAGGCAAACGGAGCGTTCAGGAATTGAGGCGATTCTTCTTTGCTAGGCGAAAGACACGCCGGTTGCAAGGCTGCAAAAGGTCTGCGTTCTCTTCAACACTCCGGGGCGGATCTGGAGCACCTCCATCTCCTCGCGCGCGTCGAAGAACATGAACTGGTCCTTCCCGAAGGGTTTAGGGTTTTAGGGTTTAGGGTTTTGGGTTTTGGGCTTTGGGTTTTGGGCTTAGGCCTCAAATCCCGGCTCCCATGTCCTGAACCTATGGAAGGTGCCGCTTTTGGGCAAAGGGCTCGGGTCGGGATTGGGACTGAGGGACTCCCATACCCGTTAATTGAGGAATACTCCTTGAAGTCAAAGAGGGTTCCTTCCACACAGGGGGTTCAGGGTTTAGGGTTTAGGGTTTAGAGTTTAGGGTTTAGGGGTATTGGAGTCTCTGGACACCGCTACAAAGCGCCAGCGTCTGAAAACTGAACACACCCAAGTGCGCTCCGCTGCCATGTCCAATGCCGATCCCGCCATCGCGCCCCTCACGAGCCTCGTCTCTTGACGTTTGGGGTTTATAGGTTTAGGGTTTAGGGCTTAGGGTTTGGGGTTTAGGGTTTAGGGCTTCAAGGGCTTCGAGTCCGACATCCCTGGGCCAAATGCGGTGAAGCCCCGTGAGCCTTTAGACCTGTAACCTGTGCCGCGAGTCCTGAAGAAGCGCTCAGAGACCAAAAGAGAAAAGCAACAGCTCCACACCCAAAGAGAGATCCTAATGAACGGCGACGCAGGGAGCAAAGCCGTCACGGGTGGCTCAAGATTCGAAGGAGCAACGGTCACACAAATCCCAGGAACGGCAGGTCGAATGCAGACTCTCCGGCAGTAGCTGCCCAGGCTTTTTGGGACCACGGGGTTCAGGACTCAGCCTCGCTTTCGCAACGCCCGCAACTTCCTCAGCCCTTTGAATCCCGCTGGAGAAGAGAACCCCCTGCCGAGGCTGTCGCGGGCACTTTGACAGCAGCCCAAGGATTCCTCTTCAGGGACGGGTTGTGGGGGGGGGTCACGGGAGGTTAGGTTCAGGGTTTGCAGGCACAGGTTGGGATCTTCCCTCTTATAGTAACAGGCCTTTATAGGATTATAATGGGGGGGGGTACGAGAATCCTCATTAAGGACTTTATAGTATAAGGGGGGAACATCCCAAGTCACGGGGCTCAAGTTATGTGTGGGTGGTTGGGGGCGACCGTTTGTCCCAAGACCCCTTGAACAAACCCTCACATCCACAGAAACAGAGACATCACCCAAATCCAATCCCAAACTTGAAGAGACCCCTACATGCCCACCACCCCCCCCCGGCCGAAAATCAAAAAAAGATACGGTTATCGTTCTTGTAAGAGCCCCTGCGAAATTGTCGGGCACGCGTACCTCTTTGACACGAACAGCTGATTCTAACGTACGGAACCATATTAGGGGCCCATGAAACTACAGATGAAAACGCCCTAAACCCTAAACCCGAAACCCTAAACCCTAATCCCGAAACCCTAAACCCTAAACCCTAAGCTTGCTTTTCGGGTCCCCAAGCTGCCTGGAAGCACCGCCTCCTTCTGGCCGGAGGTGCCATCCTCGCAAGAGGGCACCAAGGGTTTAGAGTTTAGGGTTTGGGGTTTAGGGTTTAGGGTTTGGGGTTTAGGGTTTAAGGTTTCGGGTTCAGGGTTTCGGGTTTAGGGTTTAGGGTTTAGAGTTTAGGGTCGACATAGCAACACGGCCTGTGGTGCCATGGATTGCTGTCTTGAGCCCTCTCGGCATCATCCTAACATAGACACAGGCGACAAGACTTTCAGAACTTCAGGCCTGCGACAGCTAGGAAAGCCTGAACACTGCACTGAAAACTGGGGTGTTGTTGCATGTTTATTCCTTTGATTCGGGTAAAGTTTCTACAAACCCTAAACCCTTAACCCCCAAAAAACCCAACAACCTCAAAAACCCTGAAAACCCTGAAAACCCTAAATCCTAGACCTTTCCCTCAAAACCCCAAACCAGGGCCTCGAAAGCTCCGATGATGCCTTCGACGAGGGCCATGTTGATCCTCAGCACTCGGCCAGCTGGAGGCGGGGTGGAGGGGGCATCTTGGAGTTTAGGGTTTAGGGTTCTCGCGTGTCGACCCCTACGTCAGGCATCCGAAGGCCTCGAATGCCATGACAAGAGAGACACAAGCGAATCTTGTTGGCCTAAAAAACACGCCCCGCAAGCCTAAACCTTAAACCCTAAACCCTAAACCCTAAACCCTAAACCCTAGACCCTAGACCCTAGACCCTAGACCCTAGAAAAGTCAGGGGCGCAGGGCACAAGAAATGTCAAGAGTCCTGTGGTCATCTTGAAGCAAACCTGCTTCGTTGGTACTATACCTTCTTGTACTATGACACATCCTTCTGCTGTTCTCTCGTTGCGGCCCTTCACAGACCCGTACCGACCTGAGACATCCTCCCACTGCACCGGATGCCATCGAAGCGTCACCTCCTTGACCTCCCCCGTGTAGGGCGCCACGAGGACTTTGCGCTCTGGCAGTGGAGCTTGGCTTCGTTGTTGGCTGAGGCTTTCGGCTTCAGGGACTTGAGGGCTTCGGGGCAACTCGCCCCTCTCAGGTTTCGAACAAAAAACGAAGAATTCTGGCGGTGGCGATTCCCTCAGCCCCCCTATAGATCTCACATCCCGCTGAGGTCGTCGCTCTGAGAAGAAGGAACGGAGTTTTTCTGCATCACGTGAGCGTGCACAAAAGTGAACTCTAACGAGCAAAGCTCCCCGCGCGCTCGGGCCTGTGCATTCTTGAGCCCCTGGGCCCAACAACCACACGACCACTCCCAAACCCTAATCCAGAGGCTCAGAGGTTCAGTGCTTAGGGCTGGAGACTTGTGGTGGTGCCTATAGGGTTTTGGCAGAGAGTTGGGGCCCCAGCCGAAGCCTCCCCACAATCCGACATTTTGAAGGAGCTCAGGGTTCAGAGATCTGACGGACCAGAGCTTTCATCCGAGCGCCTGAATCCACCCCGGATCTAGAAGTGGTCGCAAATGGATTTCCCTAGGAACCCGTTTGGAAACCCACTACAGTATCGCTTCATCATGATCATGCAAGCTCCCGAATCGCTGGAAAGTCCTGACCCCTGAGGCACCCAAGCCCTCGGGAAGCACGGCCTGAGAGATACGAGTTGATGAACCGCATCGCCTGCGGGGGCAAGCATTGCGCGACTAGAACGTGGGGGGAGGGCTTTTCACTTTCCCCACGGGGCCGCTTAGGGGCCGGGCTTCAGCTGGGTTGGCCTCAAATCGCTCGCGACCTCATCTCTTCAAGCTTCGCTAACCTTCCAGGAAATTCAACCCTCATCCTTTTTGAAGACCTTAGGGGTCTGTTTGGCAACTTCGGGGGGAGCGCCCCAGACTTCGGGCCGTCGCCTGGCTCTGCAGCCTGCGATCGCCGCGGCGGCGCCGCCGGCCGTCACCGCGCCCCTCCACTTCGGGCACGACGCTCAGGGGCCTCGGGCTCGCGTGGGTCGGAGGGGCGGAGCCTCTGAAAGGGCTCTCAGTAACATCTACTTTTGAGGGTGAGGTCGAGAGTCTGGGACGTGCCTCTTGCGCGAGGTTTCCGCAGGCCTGAGATGCTGAAGCCTCAAGTGCGCCATGCTTAGCAGGATTAGCAAATTAGCATATGTGAGGGGTGATGGGTTTGAAATGTGCACCTGTCTTGGCCCGCGCGCTCTACACGTGCCCTCCGACACCCGGCGACAGAAGAAGCAGGCGGGCTTTAGGAAGTGGAAGGCTCACGGGATGCCACTGGACGTGCTGACCGGTGCCCATGAAGCGTGTGGCTGCCGCAGACATCTAAAGCGCACAGCCGAGGGCCCGGCACCCGCCGACAGCGGCTGAGGCCCGAGGATTTGAGAATCTCCTGTTGAAAAAGCTTTGAAGAACAGGGTCCCAGGAGCTCGAGCACGCAAAGCGCAGGCATCCGGTCGTCTCTTTAAGCTTCCACTTTGAGAAGGAGAACCCTTGGATTGCTTCAACCCGTTCAACCCTTGAGGCCCCCCGTGACTCCATGACCCCGCCTGAATCATCAGCCAGGTGAGGTGCTCGGAAACCTCTGCGCAGGGGAACAGCTGCAAAACGCCGGGACCATCCGACAACATCTGGAGGCCTAAAACCTTAGAAGGTTTTGTGCGCCTTCGGCAAGCAACCTTTCTTGACTCCCTGTAGGGCTCAACTGCGCCCAACTTCTCAACTCCAGGGGCTTCAAGGAGTACAAGAACTAGCTCCCTTGGCGAGCCCGCACCATCCTTCTCAGAATCCTTCTCTCAGTTCCGAAACAACCTCCAAAAACCTGCCCCGAACCATTGCAAGCCCAGACAGAGTCCCCCCCCCCCCATCACTCCCTGGGCACTCTGACTGCACGAGTTGTCACAGGGGGCACCTGCAGGAGGTTGGCAAAGAGAGCGAGAGGACTTCGGGAACACTGTCATGACCCAAGTGACTAAGTCTGCAGCGTCAACCCACTTCCCGAAACTCCATACTCTGCACCTGGATCCTCATTTAATTCCGTTCGGGCGTTTCGAAAGCATCGAAGCACGCTGGAATCGCCTTACGCCTGACTGTGGCGTCGCTACGCCTCAGGTCCTACCATGTCAGAAGCAGCTACTACTGACGACCGTTGGGCCCATGTTGCACCTTCATGCACACCGAACTCCGAAGGTTCTGGTTGGGGCTGCTTAGGGCTCAAGGGTTTAGGGTTTAGGATTTAGGGTTTAGGGTTTAGGGTTTAGGGTTTAGGGTTTAGGGTTTTTTATACCCTCCAGGAAACTCCCAGAAGGCGCCTCCGCGCTCCACGGCACGAAAAGCCAGCTGCTGTTTGTCAGGCCTGATCTCCATTGGCTCCGACGCGAGGCTTCCCCTAGCAGACAACACCAAACCACCCCCCTTACGGGAAGCAAACGCTGCAAGAAAACCGGAAGACCCGCAGAACGCGCAACATCAAGCCCTACACATAATACCTCATTCCCCTCATTCCCTACAAAGAGAACCCCCCCCAGATGAAGACAAGAAGTCCTGCACTCTCTAGAGGGTCCCAGTGGCAGGCAATGTCGTGAGACCCCTTCCGTGCTAGGCAGGTGGCCTCCGGGGAGTGTTCTCAAAGGTTCGAAGGGTTTAGGGTTTAGGGGTTTAGGGGTTTGGGGGCTTGGGGCTTGGGGCTTGGGGTTTGGGGTTTGGGGTTTGGGGTTTGGGGTTAGGGTTTAGGGTTTAGGGTTTAGGGTTTAGGGTTTAGGGTTTAGGGTTTAGGGTTTAGGGTTTAGGGTTTGGGGTTTAGGGTTTAGGGTTTAGGGTTTAGGGTTTTCAATGATTCAACCTTCCGAGTCTGCTTCCTATCCTGAGGCGTTGCAGATGCTCCATGCGAGTACAGAGTCAAGGCGGTTTCTGTACTGTGCTGTACTATACTGTACTTTAGCATACTATACCCGACTGTGACATGTTTTCCTCGACTGCGTTCGACTGCATTTACTCTACACTGCCACATACGCGACTGCAATACATGTGTCAGAAACTGCCACATAGACGATACCGAATACTGTAGTATCCGAGACCACAACCTGTGAACCCAAACCCTCAACTCCAAACCCCAGCATCCCAAAGCCCTACAACACCGCAGACCGAAACCCCCGCCGTCACATCTCGGTTAGGCACAAAGATCTCGACCAGGGGTTTCTTCAGGAATTGGCCGTTCGGGGTTCAGGGCTTAGGGTTCCCAAATGATGAAAGTGGAACACAGCATTGTAGCTTACTCTTACATACGTTCACATCCTGTGTGCAAGCAGAAGACGGCATGCTACATTGCCATACAATGCCCGGAACACTCCCAAGAACCGCGGGGTTTCAGGAGGGTTGAGGCCCATCAGCCTCGGAAACCTCATGTGACCAGCATGGGCACTGGGCAGCAATCGTGCTGCAGCTTTTTTCCGATGCTTCTGGATCAGGGGCCGAGCTTGCTTTGCAAGCGGCCCCCGATCCTGGTAAGTTTCGTGCTGTGGTCCCTTGACCCAGCATGACTCAACCATGCTTTTGCAGCACTGCCTTGATAAAATCCCTACGGATAACACTCCATGTGTTGAATGGAGACGGCTTTGGTTGAAAAGGCTGCCCCAAGCCTCCAGCCAACTGCCAGAAGTTCTCAGGGCAGCTGCAGGCCTGTTCGCCCACGGGGGGTCCTCATTCCGTCTCGTGAAGCTTCTGAAAAGGTTGCTTCAAGCCGACACCAGCACTCGGGGCTACAATGGCTGGCGGGATCTGTTGGGGCACTGTTCCCTGGATCTGCCAGCTGGGATTGTGGTTGTGCGCCGGCCACATCGGGGCCATGTGGGGCCCTTGCATCTCCCAGCTGGGATTGCAGGGCTGCATCTGTCCGCCTGGGTAAGCAGGGTACTGAAGGTGACCAGGGCCCATGGCCGCCATGGTCTCCTGCAGGCGTGCACGCTTGGCTTCCTCTCGTGCCTTCTTCTTCTCTGCCGCCCTCTGCTGGGCACGCTGGTACCACCTTCCCAGCAGGCAGCACACCAAAACCAGTAGGACCAAGGAGCAGGGGATGGCAATGCCCATGACCACAGGCTGCCGATGGCAGGACCACCAGTCAGCCCTCCGGGCTTCCGAGCCGGTGCCGGAGGGTGGCTTCGTTCATGCGCCGGGCCAAGTCCGCGACGCTGGACCTCCCGATTCCCGGGTAGTCAATGGCCACGGCGTGGAGAGAATGCCCCAGCTTAAGCAGATTCTGGTGCACGACCTCGAGGGGCGAGATGTATCCCAGGCATCCGCACGCGTATTCTGGGCACGTCTCCTCGGCCTTGTACTTGTGCGGCTGAGCGTCGTCCTGAACGAGGTCCTTGTTGTACCTTCTGGAAAGGGTCTTGATGCAAGAGAGCTCTATCTCTTTCAGCATCTTCTCGGCCTCGGCGACCTGGCAAAACACATCCCGGCACTGGTTCAGCCTTGCCGGGCTGGGCAGCTTGGGGGCTCCGATCACGTTGAACGCGAGCACGGCGTTGGGCAGGACGTCCTTCTCACCTGGGGGCTTACGATATTCGGGGTACGGGTACCTTCTTGGGGTCCTTACGATAAGGGGGGATCCTACTTTTTTGGGGGGTCTCTATTTGGGGGGGTCCCCCTATCTTCGTAATCCACCCACCTCGGCCGTACTTCTTGAAGTCGGCCAGGAGACTCTGAGAGCTAGCTCCAGGGTTCACCTCCGGGTCGTAGCTGTTGTTCACCCAGTCCTTCCAGTAGAAATCCCAGATCACCACCCGAAGGTTGTTGTCCACAAGATGCGAGAGGGTGATGTTCTCGTTCGGCCTCCCCTGCACCTAGATGCGTTAAGACACTACTCAACACCTCCAGCTCTGCGCACCCGAAAGCCTGATAAACAACACTCTGGCTCAATACGACCTCAAGGCACCAGGACACAGGAGGTCTGGTTCCTGGGAGACCACGTGGATGCATCCGTGGCCTGCGTGACCTTGAGGCACGCTCCCGCGCCGCCGCCAAAGTGGTTGCCCATAAGCGCTTCCCACTGGGTGTCCGCATTGAAGCCAATCCTTGACTAGGTGCAAGCGGCTTCTGCATTTGAGGCGGAAACTTTCTTGCGGCGCATCTTTGCATATGCTGAACCATACCAGACTGCCGACTATGCTATGCATCACATCGTGCGTTGCTCCTTCTATGAACAAGTATGACTCAAACCTAAACTCAGGATCTCAGGGTCTGCCAGGGTAGCCAGCAAAAAAGAAAGCATCCCTTTGGGCTCTCCAAGCATCTTGAGGTTGCCAGGCCACAGAATGACCACCTCCCTTGGGTGGGTGCTCAGCCAGTCGCTGAAGGTGGCGAGGCTGTTTGAAAACGGCTTGCCGTAGGCGGGCGGGACGCCGTGGCAGTTGAAGAGAATCCCGGGCTCCGCTTCCTTGGAGCAGAGGTCCAGGTTGAAGGCCCTGATGCCAAAGTCCAGCTGCTCTCTGAAGTTCTTATCATGGTTCTCGTAGACGCACTTCAGGGCATCGTTCACATTGACCCCTGGCACCTCCGCGGTGACGAGGTCGGGGATGTCGAGCGAGAAGGCCCCAGCATTGTGCGTCGCTGCAAAGGTGACCTTTGGGGTATGTGGGTTGCCCGTAAGCAGGCAGAGGAGAGCATAGTCTTGTATTGCAGAGTAAAGCATAGTCTTGCTCTTGTCGGACTGAAATAGTTCATATTCTATGTGAATCATATTCTATGAACTTTGCTTCCTAGAGAACTGCCCGCCTGCGTCAGGGGCAGATCACAAAACGCAGAGTTGCCATTGCAGGCGATGGCTGTGCCCAAGTTCGACACGCCCGCCAAGAGTGCCAGCACGCGTCTCATGGCAATTGCCCTAAAGCCAGACCTCGCAAGCCTTGAAAGAGCATGCAAGGACATGGGTCACGTGTGTAGCTGTTAGCACTTCGAGGCGTGGGAGTGCAGCAGCTGGCGGGCTGGGCGTCAGCTAGAAGTTAGGATATCATGGGGTTTCGAATTTAGGGTTTCAGGCGTGAGGGCTCAAGAAAAGCACAGATGGGAGTGATCTAGAGTACTGTCTTTGCCCACATGGCGCACACCCGCTTCATGCATAGCCCCCTAACTGAAACTTGAACATCGTAAAGTTCTCGAAGATGCTCCAAGTCAATAAGCCCTCAGTTCTGGATATCTTGGGTTTGAACCCCACCACCCTTTACCCGCTGTCCTCATCCCCGAATTGTGGATCACCGAAAGTACTGGCGGCCTCCGTGTCACTCAGCCAGTGCTCTGTTCCCCACAAGTCTAGCGTCCAAGACCTCAAATCATTGGTTTTAGGGTTTAGGGCCTGGGGTTCAGGGTTTAGGGTTTCGGGTTTGGAAATTCAGGGCTCGGGTGTTACCACATTTGTCACTTTGGAACGCGCGAGCATCCGGTTCCCAGGGTCCCAAGTGGCTTGAAGGTTGGCTTCAAAAAACGAACCTATGTGTCACGAAGCTGCTGCTTCGTGTCATGGACAAACGACCGTATTGCCACAACGATGCTGGGACGTAGGAAGTAATGACGTTAGCCTGTAGGTGATTCCCTTCGGCGACTTGTGGTTGTACTTCCCATGTGCGTGCTTCCTAGCCCCGAAGAGAGGACATACTGAGCATGAGAGGCTGTTGATATAAAGAACGAACCGAAACGCACTAAGGTCCAAACCTTCCTTTAGGACGGGCCCCAGTGCGAACCTTCGTGCACTGAGCCGCGAGGAACCTCTTTAAGCCCAGGCCCTGCATTCAGCTCCCTCTCTGATTCTTTTATCCTGGCAAGTCCTGGCATCTTTTGAGCCAAGTTGGTAGTTTACGCGTGATGAGTAGGCACTGTTCAAGCAGCTTTGCACTCTTGCAATACTTGGTTGTAGGCAGCCCCAGATGCCCTCCAAACGCTCTCCGGCCCTATGGTTTCAGAAGCAAAGAAAAGCCAACCCCTTCTGAGCCCCAGAAATCCTGAAGCCTAACTTATTAAAAAAAAAACAATAAGAATAATAGCAATAATGATAATGATAATTCGAATGAGGCTCATAATCATCATCATCATCATCATCATCATCATCATCATCATGATCATGCGAAAATAATAAAGTAATTATAATGAAAATAGTAATAATAAATCATCATCGTCAGAATCACAATAAGAAGAAGAACAATAGTAACAAGAAGAGTACTTATAATAACAACAATAAGAAGAAGAACAAGAAGAAGAGGAAGAAGAAGAAGAAGAGCAATAATGATAATGACAATAAGAGTAATAACACTAACCACAATAAGAAGAACAACAATAATAATACTAACAATAATAATAAGAGAAATAATAAGAAGAAGAGCAATAAGAAGAAGAACAACAATAATACTAATCATAATAATAATAATATTAGACTCAGCGCTTCGGTCACCTTGTTGCAACAAGGCGGCGTTGCGGGGGCGTGACCGCAACGCGAGCCCCCCTCCTCGCGGAAGTAGCAGCCACCTCGGCAGAGAACCCTACCTGCACTCTCCCCTGCACCCCCTGAAACCCTAAAGACCCCCAAACCCCCAAACCCTAAACCCTAAACCGAAAAACCCCAAACCCTAAACCCTAAACCCTAAACCCCAAGCCCTAGACCCTACAAACCTAAACCCGAAGCCCCTGGCATCTGAGACTTCTCGGATTCCGAGGGCATCTCCCTGCTCATGAGTGGGGTTCTCCGGGGCGCGCGAGATACGAAAGGATGCTTGCCATCGTGGGCTCAAAGTTTGGGGTCTACTTCCTCTACTTGAAGGGTTTAGGGTTTAGGGTTCAGGGTTTAGGGTTTAGGGTTTGGGGTTGAAGGCTCATGGATACTTAGAAGTGGGGTTCTAAGTACCATGAATAAGGTTCGAACCACCGTTCCCCTACTCAGAACCCTACCTCTCAGCACCCATTAACCTGGGCGCCGCCGGAAAAACTTCGAGTTTGGGTGCTGAACTCTGGCTACGTTTAGGGTTTAGGGGTTTAGGGTTCAGGGTTGAGGGTTTAGGGTTTAGGGTTTGGGAGTAGCCTTGTGCTGCCAGCCTTTAGCCCCCGGGAAAGGCCCAAAAAAGCGTGCGAGCCAAGCCACGCTGGGTGGGCAGGGAAGGATCTCGCACCTAAGTTCTTTAGGGTTTAAGGTTTAGGGTTCAGGGTTTAGGGTTTGGGGTTTAGGGTTAAGGGTTTGGGGTTTAGGGTTTAGGGTTTAGGGTTTAGGGTTTACAGCTTAGGGTTGCTGCTCAAAGTTCCCGATGTGTCAGGGAGAAGCTTTTGCACTGGGCCCATTCGACAATGAAGAGGCTACAAGGAACTATGAACTCTTACTCCCTGACTCCCAAAACTGCTCTAAACCCTGAAACCCCATGGGGCCTCCGCTGTTACTCTTGAGGGTTCAGGGTTTAGGGTTTAGGGTTTAGGGTTTAGGGTTTAGGGTTTAGGGTTTAGGGTTTAGGGTTTAGGGTTTAGGGTTTAGGGTTTAGGGTTTAGGGTTTAGGGTTTAGGGGAGTCAGCCGAGGGTCACAGTGCCGAGCCCGCCCCAACAAAATGAATCGATACCCCTCTACAGTTGCCAACGATGTTTAGGGTTTAGGGTTTAGGGTTTAGGGTTTAGGGTTTAGGGTTTAGGGTTTAGGGTTTAGGGTTTAGGGTTTTGGCAACCAGCGCTTGGTGCGCACACTCGCTTGCACGCGCGCCGCCTGAAAAAAACCTCACGACGTACAACACTTTTCACTCCGGCTTAGGGCTTAGGATATAGGGTTTAGGGCTTGGGGCTTAAAGTTTGGGGTTTAAGGTTTGGGGTTTAGGGTTTAGGGTTTAGGGTTTAGGGTTTAGGGTTTAGGGTTTAGGGTTTAGGGATTAGGGCTTCAATGATTCAACCTTCCGAGTCTGCTTCCTGGTCCCGGTGTAGGCACCTGGACGCGGTAGCACATGGCCGCGCTGGAACCGGAGGTGCCAGCGATGTCTGGGCTGCGAGGCGCTCTCAAGAGGGGAGAAAAGGTTGTAGGGGTTTAGGGGTTTTAGGGTCTTAGGGTTTTAGGGTTTTAGGGTTTTAGGAATTTAGGGGTTTAGGGTTTAGGGTTTAGGGTTTAGGGCTTAGGGCTTAGGGTTTAGGGTTTGGGTTTAGGGCTTAGGGTAGCGCTTCGGGCTTAGAGCAGCGCCCCCCCCCCCACAGAGGCCCAAGACGTCTGCAGCCGGGAAGCTCGCGTACATCTGCGGATAGCCTTGAAAGGTGTTGTGATGAAGACATGGCTGATTCGAGCAGGATCATCCCATAACGAAGGAGTGTGTCAGCTACCAGTATGAGCCCTGCTGCAACCGGGTGTTTCTCGGGCTTTCAGGGCTCATAGGGTTTACAGGGTTTATAGGGCTTAGAGGGTTTATTGGGCTATAGGGTTTACAGGGTTTTACATGAGCCAGCATAGCCGCACCCGCCCCCCCTTCCCCGCCCGCCCTCCCCTCTGCCCCCCCCCTCTCCCTCCAGGTAATCCGTGTGTTTCATTGTCTGCGGTTCATGGGTTTAGGGTTTAGGATGTGGCTGTAGAGTTCAGGATTCTCACTTTGACCCCCTTGGTCCATATGGGTTTAGAGCTTAGGGTTCAGGGTTTGGGGGAATGGTAGGTTTATGGTTTCCCCTCTCCCCCCTGTGGTTCGTGCTTGGTTTACGGTTCAGGGTTAAAGCGGTTAAGGTTTCGTGACTCTCCCCCCCTTGTGGTCCGTGGTGGTTTAAGGTTAACGGGCAGCGTTTGGGGGGGGGGGGTCGATTACGCGGAACGCGGGCGCATATAAGGTTTAGAGGGGTTTAGGCGGTTGGGCCAAGAAGCGTGCCCAGCCCTCCGGAATCTCCGGAAGCTCGCTCGTGTTGCTGACGTGGACGTAGCAGGTGTTTGCCTCGTGGAGCCTACGGCCTACGCCCTCAACTTCCACCTCCCCGCATCTAAAGCCTGGGATGCTCCTCTGAAGGACCCGAGATGAACCTCCTATGTCTCAAACCCACTCGAAACCCGTTGCCCCTCCGAGTTCCTGTCTGGTCCTCATAGCGCAGTTAGGACAACCGGACCGTCATCTCTATGGAACACGAAGGGTTGCGGGCTAAGGGTTGCAGGGGGAAACCTGAACCCCTGAACCCTTAGACCCTCAACGGCCCTGAAGGTACAAGGATGATGCTCCCTGATGCTCCAGATGCCAAGGTCTGAGGTTTGCTAAGCCGGCCCGCACCGCCAGGCCGAAAATAGAATCACCGGACACTCTTGGGCAGTCTTCACTTCTTGCCGTGGCCGAGCGGCAAATGACTGGCTGTCCGCCTGTGGCATGAAGGTATAGCCGATGCAGGCCTCGCCTGGTAGAGGAATTTCGCGCAAAAAAAAGGCTTAGTCTACCCCCCCCCCCCCCCCCCCCCCCAAAAAAAAAAATGAAAAGGGTGCAACAATACGCTCGGTCACCCCTTTAATAAAGGATTTGGGCATGGAGCTTGGGGTTCCGAGTCAGATTCTTTGGGAGCTTGGGTCACGCGCTAGCTGTGGAGAGTCTCTTCTGGCTAAACGTCGAGAAACCCTAAACCCTAAACCCTAAACCCTAAACCCTGCACTGGTTCTCGGGATTGAAAGCAACACATAAGAACGACACAACCTGCCAAGGCAGGTCTCTGCAGGTCTTAAGCCTTATGCAGCACAAGCGTGCAACTTCCGGAGAGGGAGGCAGTACAAAATCTGAAGTGTTCCGCATCAAGGTTCTTCTCTTGACTCCCGCGCACACACACGCACACACCCTTCTTCGCCTGCAAGGACTGCCAGGCACAAATCTGGAAATCCAGAGAAGATCGATCCAAAGCCCTCAAAGCTCAACCGCTGAGACAACAAGGCAAAACAACCCGGAAAGAAACCTTGAACCCGAAAGACGTCTTGAACCCGAGGCACCTGCAAACCTCCTAAACCCGAATCCCTACGCATGAAGCCCTACACCCATTGCAGGGCCAAACTTTAAACCCTCTAAACCCTAAACCCTAGCCCTAAACCCTAAACCCTCAAACCACAAAAAAAGAAACCTAAGTTACATCTTGGGTCAAGATACGCGCATCACAGGTCAGGCGACCTGGGAAACACTTCGACTCTCGGAGATCGACTCGGAGGTTGGCTTTTGAAGCTACCCTTTGGGACGGGGGGGGGGGGGGCTTAGGGTTTGGGGGTTAGGGTTTAGGGTTCAGGGTTTGGGGTTTGGGGTTTGGGGTTTGGGGTTTAGGTTTAGGGTTTAGGGTTTGGGTTTAGGGTTTGGGGTTTAGGGTTTAGGGTTTGGGGTCTATAGGGTTTTTGGGGGTTGTCGTGGACTTACGGTTAAGGCCAAGGGGAGGGTTTGGGGTTTATAGGGGGGCCCCGTCAGAAAGGGGTTGAGGAGAGGGCTCTCTACATTTTCAAGCAGGAGTGCAGGGAGACGACCTGCCCTCTAGGCATCGCGCACCTGGGAAATCCGATACAGAGGAGTTGTCAGCACGCGCGGAGGTCTATGCTTCGGGCACGTCGCTGAACCTCCAAGTCAGAATGTGAGGTTTTGGGGGTATCGAAGGCAGTGCAAGAAATAACACCGAAAGAACAAAAAGGGAGAGAGAGAGAGAGATAAAAAAAACAAAAACAAAAAAAACGACAGATGATTGACAACTAACTGAGTTGGTACAAGTTGCACTCGGTCAACGAGTCCACCAGCTTGAAGAAGCCGTTCACACGGCAGGCAAGACTTTCCGGATCGGCGCAACCTGCTTCATCAGATGGGTTCTTGAGTGGCATCACGTGCCCGCAGGGTTGCAGGGTTGCGCAAGCCCTAAACCCCAAAACCCGAAACCCTAAACCCTGAGCCCTGAACCCTAAACCCTTCGCCAGGCCCAGCTTCAGAGCAGTGGGAGCTCAAGAGACAAACCTTGCTGTACCCTGCTCCTGTCACCTCTCAAGCCCTACACACCACAGGGGTTGAGGGTTTCGGGATTAGGGTTTTAATATAAAATTCAAAAAAAACCCTATGAACAGCCCCCGAAAAAGACACAGAGAAGAGTCGGGAGAACTCCCACCCCAAAAACCTGGACCTACACCCAAAACCCCCAAACCCCCAAATCCCACCCCAAAACAAAGCCCCCCAAAAAAACCCACAACTCTCGTCAAAAAGCCCTCGGAAAGCCCCGCACCCGAAGAGCCTGATGGCCGGCAGAAGCCCGCGCCCACGAACTCGTGCACCTGCCCCCAAGGGGACTCTTTCTTTGAGGGGGCTCTTTCTTTGACAAGGGGGCTCCTTTTTGGAAGGGGGCTCCTTTTTTAAAGGGGAGGCTCCTTCTAAAGGGGGATCCTTTTTTTGAAGGGGGCTCTTTTTTTCGAAGGGTCTTCTTAAAAAGCGGGCTCCTTTCAGGGCTCCTTTGAAGGGCTCGTGCTGGGGCCTTGGTCTCTTTTAGTCTCTTTTGTTGTTTTGTTGTTTGTCGCCCATGCACCCGACATGCTTTTAGAAAGCTTGGCGGCATGAGGGTTCGCGTCCAAGATGGCAGAGCCAATCGGGCTCTACTTGTGTGTGAGATTTCGTTCGGCGTCCGATGCTGGCGGCATGCTGCTTTACAACATGGCACGACGACACGCGCCGTTGAGCTCAGCCTCCGACTTCTTCGTGTCAGTTGTGCGGTGACAGGTGCTTCTGCCCAATGGACTGGACTGTCTTGACGGTGGGAAACGAGCAAGCAACAGGGCAAACGGCGCAAAGGGGCAGAGTCTCCAGATCGGGTCGAAAGACGCGTGAGCTTGCGGCTCACAAAAAACCCTGCCCTTGCTTCCCCCCGCCCCCGAACCTTCGTCAAGTTCGCCTTCTCAGCATCCCTTGCAGGTTCAAAGGGTCTTGGAGCTGAAGGGGGGATGCACAAAAACCCTCAGCAGCTGGGCATTGCTTCGATCTCTAGCAAACCTTACGCCGGCCTGGACCCTTTCCTGGAAAGCTTTCTGAAACTTTGAAGTGCCCCTCTCAACCTCCCGAATTAGCCCCAAACACGCATCTCCCAAACATGTTCTTTCACAGTAAACAAACATGAAGTCTCACAAACCCACCCCCCCAGAAAATCCGAAAAGCTGACGCCCTTCAAGCACCCCGAAAAAGTAATGTAGGAGCCTCAATAATTAGAATAGGGTTATGGGGGTTATTATCGTGTATTTCTAAAGGGACTGATTAGAATAGGGTTAGGGGTGTAATTATAGAGGGCATTACGGCCCCCATGTTATCATTACTATTACCATTATTATTGTTATTCTTATTACTATCTTACTAGTATTACAATTCTCTTTCTGTATTGTTCTTCTTGGTTGCTATTGTCATTTTAATTCTATGGCTGCGCATGGCTGCGCATGGCTGCGGCCGCGTGTCAGGCACAGCTCGCCGGTGCCGTTCACGCTCGAAGCCGAGGCGTAGAAACCCTCAGAAAACTGGGCGCTTCTGGCACTGCTCGGGCGATTCCCTGAACCCTAAACCCTAAACTCTAAGCATTAAACCCTAAACCCTAAGCCCTAAACCCTAAACCCTAAATCTTGAGGGTTTAGGGTTTCGGGTCTAGAGCTTACACAGGCCCCACAGCCATCGCTGGAATCCTGCCATAAACGGGTTTAGGCTTCTCTTTTCCTTTGTTTGTTTTAAGAAAGGGTTGGAAGCATAGCGTGGTTGGCTTTCACTGCTTGTCGGAGAGCGTCAGTGCAAACACTGTCCCATCACACGCCTCGTCCTTTTTTTTGGGCGGGGGGGGGTGGGATCCCATGCCGAGGCGGCCGCATGCCCGAAGCTGTCGTAGAAGCAGCCCATGTCGGATCCTGGCCGATTTGGCTATCATTATCATCGTTATCATCGTTATCATCGTTATCATCGTTATCATCGTTATCATCGTTATCATCGTTATCATCGTTATCATCGTTATCATCGTTATCATCGTTATCATCGTTATCATCGTTATCTTGTTATCATTGTACATGATCATTCCTTGTATCAAGCATTGTCCAGGGCTTGGCATGCGGTTAGGGCCTCAAAATCGAACACCGGCCCTCATGGACTGCAGATGGACTGTAGGGAGCACTACGGCTAAAGCCCACCCAAGAATCCAACAGCCCCAAGCCCTTCCAAGATAGCAAAAGCCGGTCTGACCCGAAGCTTTTGGTTCTGCGCCCGTAGCTTCTCTCATCTGAACTCGACGCAAACAACGCCGCTAAAGCTCGTTTTCCACAAGTAGGGACCTTTGAGAAGCCTGCCCCACGAACCGCCCAATCCCCCCCCCAAAAAGGCCTTTGGATGACAAGTCCATGCTCCAAAGCAGGCTATGCGATGTGGATGCGACCAGGCACTCGTACTCGCTGGTGATCTTGCTGTCCGCCCTCAGTGGACTCGGAAACGGATGCGCGATGGAGCTTTTGGCTAGAAGCCCCTCAAATTGCCGTCCCCCAATTCGAGGGAGGCCAAAAGGCAGAAGCTTTTGTTGGGGGGGAGGGGGGGGAAAGGGGGGGGAGAGGGGGCTGTGGCTGTTGTTTGTGGTGGTTGCTCGAAGAGAACAACACCCCGGCAAAAGCCTGTCATTGAGGGTCTTGAAATGGTTAACATTGGCCCCAACGGATTTGAATTGATGCTCCCAATGGTCTTCAGAGGGCTTACAGTGCGTGGCCCACGGTAGGCAAAGCGGCACACAGCGCTCGCCCGCTGCAGATTTTGCATACACCTCGGCAACCAGATGGGCCATACCATCCCGAATTAACCTCTAGACCATCGCAACATGTCGCAACGACTAAACTTCAGATACCCTCAAAACTTCCACTCTATGGGGACATGAGGCAGAGGCCCCGACATGCGCCAAACCTCGCCGACACAATTCGATCTTCATCGCACAAGGCATGAGACGAGACACGCCACAAAGGACAGCGTGACACACAACAGAGACCGCCGCAAGGGGAGAGAACAGTTGCGAGCAGCGTCGCTCGGTATTCTTGAAACTCAAAAGGGCGCCTGAGGCTCAAAAAATGAAAACAGGCACGAGTTGTCTCGAGGATCGCGACCCTCGACAGAATCCCTGTGACCTTTCGCACAGCACGCGAAGACGAGCAGAAGGTCCAACAGCGACAGTCCGCAAGCGAGAATCTGACACGCGACTGCTGGCAAAGCTTAACACCTGAAGACCCTAAACCCCCAAACCCCCAAGGCCAGAAATCCTGGCGCGCCGCTCCATGAAGACGCTGAGCAATCCCCCAAGCCACCGCCCAGACGACAAAGAAATCTTCGGCCTGAAAGCCTGCCCTGTAAGCCCCAAACACCCTCAAAACCGTGACAAAAAAAACCCTAAAGCTGCAACAGCCCTAAGTCAACGGTAAATCCCAGACTGCTACCCGAAACCCTAAACAGCGCTCGCTACAATTTCCTTTGCACCGGACCCTTAAGAGCCGCGACGTGAGAGTGTGCCTTAAATGTTCTCTCCATGTTACTGTTAGAGGTGCGCGTCGTCTATGTTAGCACGGTCTAACAAAGTAATCCGAAGACTTATGCACAGCGCCATAAAACTAAATAGCACTCAGAAGGCAAGCCTCGGTGCTTCTCGGTGCTTCAATAATCCCGACGAACATGTCAGGCATCAGTATGTGAGTAATTGAAGGCTGCTGAATCTGCGTCCAGACAGGTTGGCTCCACCCAGCGATACAGCAGGCTGAAGTAATGGCCGCTGTGCTTGGCTTGCGCATGAATGAACTTCGCGATTCGATGTCCATCTGGCCCGGAGCCTTGTGCATCGCCTAACGGGCCTGACAGTCTCGCCAGAACATCAGCACGCGAGCACAAGCTACCAGTCCGGGCTTTAAAGGCATATTGAAAGCCTTGCTTGACCCACCATGTCTCTGCGGACCTCGCAGATTCGCAAATAAGAATCCGGGCCTCTGTCCATCTCTCGAGGTAAGTGAGGAGCATCGGAGCTGCTTTCAAAGAATCGATGGCCGTGATGCCATCAATCAACGCAACCTGCCCGCCGATTGCAGATCTGAACATCATTGAGCCCACTGTTTTTGTTGCTGTCACTAGGCTTGATCCTGGCGTCAGACTCTCCCACAGCTCCTCATCCTCTATTTGGCCACCATCATCCCCACGGCCTCCACTCAGCCTATCGCACATCAGCTGAAGTCCGGCGCTCATCGGGGCAGGCATGGCAGAAACACATCGCGGCATCGTAACATCTTGCAGTGCAAGAGGAAGGGATCTCACGACCTCCAAGATTTCGGAATCGGTCAAGCAAGGGGCCTGGGCGAGCAGCGCTTGTACTTCGTCAGAGTCGGGCTCCGATTCAGTTTGGATTTCATCCGACTTGGACTCCGAGTGAAATCCCTCATCCTTCCGGAGGGCTGTCCGCGTCAAACATCCGCGGGCCCAAGCCTGCAAACGCACAACGGTGTTGTCGGGTCGAAGCACCACCGTGGACTGCGGCGGAAGGTCAACTCCTGTGTCCCAGCCTGAAGTAAAGCCCATTTCCGCATCCACAGCTGATTCGGTTGAGCCATAAGTTGTACTTGGTGATAAAACTACCGTGGACTGTGGCAGAAGGCCAACTCCTGCGTCCCAGCCTGCAGTAATGCCCATTTCCACATCCACAATTGATTCGGTTAAGCCATAAGTTGTACCTGGTGGCTTTTTTTCACCCGCGTAATGAGCCATGACAGCCACACGGATCCCGACGAGCAGGGTTGCAACAACCAGGAATACTACCGCCTCAGGAAGCCAGGCATGCGTCGGTACCGTCGGTGTCAAAGGAGTCTCATCTGCTGAGAGCCGCAACGCCAGCTCAAGAGCAGTTAACAATCCCTTTGTGTTGGCATGTGCCTGCTGCACTGCTTCATGCTGCGCGCTGGCACAGGCATTGTTGGTGGAATGCAAAAGGTAATGAGATTGAAGAAAAAGTGAAGAGCTTTGCCGAAGCAGAATCTCCATGGTGCTAGCCAGTAAGGAGTCAGCGACGAAGCTCTTGAGCCGCTATAGCGAGGCCTGGCTGCTATTCCTTGTGCGTTTTTTTTCCAACTTGCGGAGGGTAGACTGTTATTCGCTTCAAAAAACCCGCAAATCATTCGAAGGCCACCGAAAAGCTGTAAAACGAAAAACAATGTGCAAATGAACCGTAGCCGGACCCTTCACATTCGTGGACGTGGCTGAAATGAAAGACCAGAAAATAGCCCATGGGCCAAGGTATGCGAGGTGTCACGTTCATCCTAAACCCTGAACGCCCTCCAGACCCAAAAAACACCTTCAAACCAAAACATCGTAAAACCTAAAAACCCCAAACCCTAAACCCTAAACCTTAAACCTAAAAGCCCTAAACCCTAAACCCTAAAGACCCTAAAGGCCCGAAAAGCGCCCGAGTCCGGCACCCGCTGCTGGTAGCCGAAGTCCATCTGCAGACCTTTATAGGATTTTGTGTTTACGTTTAGGGTTTAGGGTTTAGGGTCAGGGTTCAGGATTTAGGGTTCAGGGTTTAGGGCTTAGGGTTTAGGGCTTAGGGTTTAGGGCTTGGGGTTTAGGGTTTAGGGTTTGGGGTTTAGGGATTAAGGTGTATTGAAGGTTTAGGGTTTAGTGCTTAGGGTTTAGGGCTTAGGGCTTAGGGCTTAGGGCTTAGGGTTTTAGGGGTTTAGGGCTTAGGGTTTAGGGTTTAGGGTTTAGGGTTTAGGGTTTAGGGTTTAGGGTTTAGGGTTTAAGGTTTAGGGTTTAGGGTTTAGGGTTTAGGGTTTAGGGTTGAGGGTTTAGCGTTTAGGGTTAGGGTTTAGGGTGCATGTGCTATGCCCTTGGCACATCGCCTCAGGGTTAGGGCATCCCAAAATCGCCCCCGAACAAACCTTCCGAAACCAAAGCAGCATGGCTCCGAGGTCCACGCGCACCAAGATCTGGGCAGATGCTTAGGTCTGGGTTTAGGGTTTAGGGTTTGGGGTTTAGGGTTTAGGGTTTAGGGTTTAGGGTTTGGGGTTTGGGGTTTAGGGTTTAGGGTTTAGGGTTCAGGGTTTAGGGTTGAGGGTTTAAGGTTTAGGGTATGCTTAGGTCATGTAGGGGCCCTTTTGGGTTGACTAGAATGAAGTATTTTGGGCTCAGCAGTTTCTGTTACATTGTATCGGGAGCAAGCACCAGGGACAGGATAGGCAATTTGCGCCCTAAAACCCGAGAGATACAAAGCGAACAGCTCCCGAGAACCGAGGCGCCTGGGTCGGCGTCTGCACAAGCTCCCGCGTGGGCGGGAGGTCCGTCGATGCCCTATTGCTGGAGGTGAGTTTGGGGTTTAGTGTTTAGGGTTTCGGGTTTCGGGTTAGGGTTTTAGGGTTTAGGGTTTAGGGCCTAGGGTTTAGGGCTTAGGGTTGAAGGGGCCTATCAGGGGCTACCAGCTGGCCCTAATGCCCACGCCCCCACTTTGAGGACCAAGACACGACTTCCTTTGCAGGTGCCATCTCAAACGCCGAAGTGCAAACTCCTGAACGCACCTGACACTGGTCTCTTAGGCCCCCGGGCTGCCGGAGCTGTGCATCCAGGGCATCGAAGTCGTAGCCGCGGAAGCCTCCACCCCCCCCCCCACCCCTCTCCCCGCCCACCCCTCTCCCTCCCCGCCGGAAGCGAAGCAAGGCCAAGGGCAAAGCAGGCAAAACCACAAACAAACTTGCAAGCCCCGAAGCCGTAAGCCCCGAAAAGTCCAACCCGCTCAACAACCTTCCAACTTGGGCCTTCGGTCCAGGTCGTCCTCAGTGCAGCGACATGGGCTTTGGGCTGTCGCTTGAACACCGTCATCGGAGGGCCGAATTCAGTTTCACCGAGCTGTGGGGTTCTCACGGCTAGAAGCAGCGGAATCCTGGAGAAAGCCCAACATCTCCAACACCCAAACTTTGATGGAGGGGGGGGTGGGGTTGGGGGTGGCAGCCCGAAGTTTGGGCAATACCCACTTCGACGCAACCAACGAGTTCCAACTGCTTGAGTGCCCAGCAGAGTGCCCGCGAGGTCTCCTGGTACAGGGTTCAGGGTTCAGGGTTTAGGGTTTCAGGGCTTAGGGCTTAGGGTTTAGAGTGTGTTTAAGGTTTAGGGTTTAGGGTTGGAAGTAGCACACAGAAAGATCGCCCGGACGGTCAAGGGATAGAGGCTCACTATCTGGCCCTAATTTAGAAGTTCAGGACATGCGAGTTGGAGATAGCCTTGCAACACTGCCCGAAATACTTGGAGGTTCATGGGTAGTCAAAAAATAGGGTTCTAAGTACCCTACATTCAGGGTCTAACCAGTTCTCATTGCAGTTACCCTACTTCTAGCCCCACTTTAACTACCCATGAACCTTCAAGCAACCCCAGCACCCAAACCAGGAATGCGAGGAATTGATCTCCTGGCTTCGGCCATATGGGGTCTGAAATGAGCAGTTGGAGAGCTGAACCTACAACCCAAAACCAGCCAAGTCCCTCGAAGATTCGAAGGCTCGTGACGAAATCCCGAGGAGGTGCAAACCCAGATCCCGCACCTCCGGCAAGGCCCCGGACGACGCCCTGGTAGAAGGGGCATCGCCTCACACCAGACGCAGAGCAACAGTCAAGGCCTAGAACGCTTTCGGGCGAGCCAGTGAACCCCCTGTCAATATTGAAAGCAGGCTACAACCTACCGTCCACAGCATCCAGCTGCATCACAGCGGGCTTACGCAGAGACCGGCTTCAGCGTCGCTGAGGTTCCGAGCTCGTGCGTGAGGGCAATGAGGGAGCCGAAGCTCCTGACCGACTCGTCACCTTCGCCAGGGAAAACAGTGAAAAGAAAAAAACAAGCTACGCGAGAGCACGTACATGCTCAAGAACGCGCAGCTGTCAACGCCATCTGTCTGAGGTTCAGAAATGCTCAGAAGCGTCGGGAAGACAGCGGCTACCGCTCCTGCCTGCACACGCAGAATGTCTCTTTCAAGAGAACCGTTTTTAACCATGAATTTTTGATGAGGTGCCATCCTGCCAAGAAGCTCATTCCGGAGCTGGTGTGCATCGATGCGCCACGCATCTCTTTCCGAAAGCGCCCGCTGAAGTTGCGCGCGTAAGCGAGCTTGCAGAACGGCCGCCTCCTCTGCTTGCCCGCGCAACACATCCCTCTTAGCTACAACATCGCGAAGTAAAAGCGTGAGGCGATGTGCCTGTCTCTTGGCAAAATCGCAATGATAGTTTGCTCGTTCAAGCTGATGTTCAACAGGGTCTCTCAATTTGAGCTGATGCTCCGAGCAGTTTGCCCGCAGCAGGGTGGCTATCAAAGCATCCTGATCGTCTGCGGTCTCCCCGGGTGTGGGACCCTCGCCGAGTCCCACAAGAGATGCCAGCCAGGTCCACGCCGACATCTGGACTTTCTGCACGTTTGGATTGCTGTCTCCGAACTTTAGAGATCCCAGCTATGAATCAAGGGTACATGTGCCTTGCTTAACTTCGGGACGTGTTCCTTAAAGGACTTGTGGGGGGACCCTCGTGTTGATTTAAGGGCCGAGCTCCTTCATTCAAGGGTAACAACCCTAAACCCTAAACCCTAAGCCCTAAACACGACTATTTGGGTTTTGGGGAAACGACTGCACCCTGAGTCCGGCGCTGCAGTCCAGGAAGGAGGCATTTTCCAGGCCTGGGCCGTCTTTTTGGGTTCAGGGTGTGGGGTTTAGGGTTTAGGGTTTAGGGTTTCTGGTTTAGGGTAAGCCCTGAACCCTAAACCCGAAGGGCCTCTGGTGAAAGGAGGAATGCCGAGGAAAAAACTTCCTGTCGGGATTCTGCCCGGCTCTGGAACTTCTTTTTCTATTTACTCGTCACAATACAATCTCATCACGTCATCCAGCTCATTGATTCAGCAGTGGACCCAGGAACCCAAGATCCTAAGCTTGCTGAAGCCTCCAGCTGCATGGGGGCCGCTTTTGAAAGGCCCGTTTCGAAGAAATCTGCACACTTGCTGCGAGGATGTCGGCTTCGCGTTCTTGTGGGTGTTACTAAAGATGCCGGAAACCTAAACGCCGAGCTCTAAACACCAACTCCTCCGAGATCCCCGACCGAACCCCTCAAACCCGAGCCCCCCCCCCCCCCCCCCCCGAGGGTTCGCGCTGGGTATGATATTCGTCTCTATGTCCTCCAAAGACGCGTTCGCGAGCCTGTCCGGCCGGATCCAGGGAAGCATCGGCTAAAAGGGGCAAATTAGAAAAAAAATACTGAATCCATGAACAGCTCCCTCGTGAATCTTACCTTGGGCTTTGGGCATCATGACATGGCCCTGACATTCGTATGTCGGCCCTGGAGGGCTACTTCCCCTCCTTCCCGAGAGCCCGCATCCCAGGACCGCTCAGGTGCCAAGACCACCCCGGCTCCCAAACTCCCACCCACCAATCAACATCATGAGATGCCATCATGAAACAACCCTTAAAATGCCTCAAATCCTTTAGAGTCCCGGAGCCTGGACAGGAAGCTGGCCGCATCTGTCAGTGCCGTGTTGATCGGGTGTCCCGCCACGCTCGCATTACCTGGGCAGTTTCAAGGGCCATCTTGGGACCCGTTTTCGGGGAATGCCGAGAGGTTCCCCGAAATCGCAAGTGCAACAGGTGTGGGCTTGGGGAGTCCCCACACTTCAGGTAGAGTTCGGCAGAACTGGGGGCTTGAACTGCTTGAACTTCAACTTCTGTGCAGAACTCATGCAGAACTCATGCAGAGCTGTGATATGAGGCAGGCTCTCAGGATCAGCCCTTGGCCGGAGGCACACCGCTACTCCCATATACCACGGTAAGTGCACCGAACTTGGATCTCAACAACGCTGGCTGGGCGACATTTGCCATTTCATTTGAGCCCCGCAAACCATCCAAAACACTCTCCCTGCTCTGAAAAAACTCAGAGGACATTTCCCTAAACCCTAAACCCGAAACCCTAAACCCTAAACCCTAAACCCTCTGGTTTCTCTGGGACTCTGGGAGGCTCTCTCAAGCTTGGCCCGCGGGCGGAGGAGTGCTGCGGCGAACGGCAGAGCGGCCTGAGCACAGGGTTTAGGGTTTAGGGTTTAGGGTTTAGGGTTTAGGTTTTAGGGTTTAGGGTTTAGGGTTTAGGGTTTGGGGTTGGGGTTTAGGGTAGGGTTTAGGGTTCAGGGTTCAGGGTTTAGGGTTTAGGGTTTGGGGTTTAGGGTTTAGGGTTTAGGGTTTAGGGTTTTGGGGCTCTGTTGAACCAGGCTTCTTCGAACGTCCCCGAGTTGCCTACGTGGTGTTCCTTGCCACCCTGTCGGGGCACTTCTGGGGCGTTCCAGCGCCTTTACAACAATTGCGTGGTTGTCAAAATTATGATCCCTTCTAGGGAACCCTAAATATTAGGTGCCGTATTACAATAGGGATCCAAAAAGGCACCATGATTTTCACAACCACCCAGTTGAGAAAGAAGCACATCCAACAGCCATCGCCCTGGAGCCGTGAACCCTAAGTGCTCACAACGGCCCACCCAAGACACGGCGCCAACTCACTTCAAACATGACAAACACGCATGCTGAGCCCTGGGTGGAATCATGAGCCATGGATCGCTTGCAGCCCCTAAAGTGCGGCAAAAAACCGACTCGATGAAGGCCAAAGAAGGCCAAAAACACACAAGCACAGGTCCAAAAAGCACCTGAAATGGCTTACAGGACAACATCCGACCACGGAACCCCCAACGCGCAAAGGCCTGGCAGGCCTGAAACCTGAAAAGCCGAAAGCCACGAAAAGCCCCGCCCCCCGCCCCGCCCTGGCCTGGGATCCCAGAAGTGCTGGGACGCCCTGCACTCCCCAGGCGCTGGGGAGGGATTCGGAAGGTCTTTTTGGTTCACGGGCTTGATATGATGGGCAGAGTTGAAGTCTTTGGTGGACGGGGGAAGGGCGTCAGGAAGCTGAGCTTGTTTGTAGAGGTTGGGGTTAAAGGCGAGGGCCAGTATGGGGTTGGGATGGCATTGAGCGGGCTCCTCTTCCATGCTTAGGGATGCTTCAAATCAAGTGCCTTTCGCTTAGGGACAAGGATGCGTTTGCAGCTCGCAGCATTGCAACATGCCGTGAACCAAAGAGCTGCTGAGAATGCGCGCCGTCGTCTGCAGCCACTGCAGCAAGCGGAAGGCTTCCACGCCGGCCTCACTCAGCGATGAATCCCAAACCGCCTCAACCCCTCGTAATTTCAGCTCAGATGTCGCAGGCTCTCACAAAGGCTTTGGAATATGCATTTGGGAGTTCGGGAGAAAACAAGGGGCGTGCTCGAAAGAAAAAAGCCGAACAGAAGGTGCCGTTTGGGGGCCTTGAACCGTGCTCGCCGAGAGCGTGCCAACATCGAAGCACAAAGCTGAATATGCTAGATGGAGCCCATATGGTTTAAGAGCCTTTTGGAGAAGTGTATAGGTTACCAGATGTTGCCCCTGTGAGCCTATGAAGGAAAGAGCGAAGCCTCCTCAAAACGCATGCCCGCCATGGGGGCATGGCCACATGCTTTTTGGAAAATACCCACCAGGCACAACCGGTTCATGGGTAATTATAAGTGGGGTTATAAGTACCCTAAATAAGGTGTTAACCCTAGTTCCCCCACTGATAAACCCTACTTAGAAGTACCCATAAACCTCCAAGTTGGGCCCGGGAAAGCCCGTAATGGCAGCCCCCCGGACCTCCGTCTGGAAGCCCGTTCCCTGGCAGTCCGAAGCACTCGAAGCACTCAACCTTTACCTTGAAAAACCCCCAAACCTACTCTTTTGCAGCACTGTGAAAAAAACCCCTGAACTTCTGGGATCCAACGAGACAAAGTTAGGCTTTGGGGTTCGCAAGGCACTCATGGACTGTGACGGGCTCAGTTCGACTCAGGGGGCTGGTTCGGGGAAGGTTTTGGGAATGTAGGGATTCCCGCATTTCGCCCGAAATTTGAGCTCCCGAAAAGCAGGACAGGCAGGCGTCATCATTCCTCATGCCATCTGCCTGGCTTGGGGTTAGGGGTTGCCCCCGGATTGGGTTTAGGGGTTTAGGGGCTTAGGGTTAGGGGTTTAGAGGTTTCAGGGGTTCAGGGGTTCAGGGGTTTAGCGGTTTAGGGGTTTAGGGGTTTAGGGGTTTAGGGGTTTAGGGTTTAGGGTTTGGTTCCTTGGAAGTTTCAGGGTGCAGGAGCTTGCCTGATGCGGCTGTACAGACGGATAAAAGCAGGCCCTTTAGCTGTAGCTTTGGCCACGGCGACGATTCGACGACAACGATGACGACCTCAACAGTTACTCCGAAACAGTTGCTCTTGCTACTAACCCTGCAGGAGTAGCGGAGCCCTCTCCGGCTGAGATCACAAACAGTCACGGGGTCGCCACAAATCGAGAGAAACAAATCCGAACGCAACTGAGGACGACCCGACGGAAACCTGACAGCAACAATATCCTGAACCCAAGCCCTTGCAGGTAGTGGAAAGAGCCCCCGAAAATGTGTGTGTGTGTGTGTGTACATATGTACATAAACATATATATATATATGTATATATAAATATGTATATAAATAATTGTTTATATACATATAAATGAATAAAAAAATAAATAAATAAACAAAACTAAATAAATAAATAACCAGCTGCTAGAAAGTGCACAAGAAGCCTGTCGACTCCTGCCCTTGGAGCCCCAAACCCGCCAGGGTGTCCACGGGATTTCCGGCCCTCAGCGCAAGGGGAAGGTCTTCGGGTAGTTACATGGTCCCTTACTACAGGCTCCTAAGAGGGGACCCCTTATGTACTCCTTGTATACCCTTACAGACCAAGGTCTTCAGAACCCAGTACATGAGGAGGGGGGGGGGGGGGGGGGCGCGGGGTGGGGGGTGGGGGGGGGGGGGGGGGGGGGGGTGGTGGCGTGGCGGGGGGGGGGGGGGGGAGGGGGTGGGGGTGGGGGGTGGGGGGGGGGCGTGGGGGCGCGGGGGTTAGGTTGGGGTTCAAGGTTTAGGGTTTAGGGCTTAGGGTTTATCATGGGTTTCCCTACTACATAAATAACCCTACAACCCTAAACCCTAAAACCTAGAAACCCTAAACCCTAAACCATAAATCCCTAGACCCCAAGCCCCAGAAACCCCAAGCACTCAAACCCCAAAAAACAAACTCAAAGCCACAAACCCTGAAAACTCTCAAAAAGCCCCAAACCCCAGAAACCCTACCAAAAACCCCCAAAAACACCTGAAAAAAAGCCCTCAAAAGCCTAAAAACCCCCAAAAAAACGCCCTGGAGCACTGGACCGGGGATGCGTCCTCGCGGTTTGCTCACCCAACCTAGGTCTCAGGCCCCGGCTCTCCCAGAGCACATATGGGCACCGTCTTTGGAGGGTTTCGGGTTTAGGGTTTAGGGTTTCGGGTTTAGGGTCTCGGGTTTCGGGTTT